CTACTTAGAGGATCATGGGACGTAGTAAGTAGGTTATAGTTGGGGTTATAAGTCCCCTAAGTGGGGTTATCCTAATTATAACCTACTTACAACCTTACTTACCAAGTCCCATGATCCTCCAAGTAAGCCCTGAACCCCTGAACCCTCAACGGCTCTCAGGCGTGGCCCCGGACTTGAGCGAAGCCCAGCGCTGGTATCGGGACTCTGGGCGCAGTTACCTCTACAGCTTACAGGGTTTATTCCGGGGTTCATGCACTCCCCGCTAGTCGTGGTCCCAGGGAGTGAGATAGAGAGAGAGAGAGAGAGAGAGAGAGACCGAGAGACAGACAGCGAAAAGAAAGCCAGAGACAGAAAGAGATCTTGCTGTAAAGCTTACCAACATCATTGTTTAGGGTTCCCTATCAAGCCCATTCTCTAGTGTACCCTTGATGTAAGCGTTGAGGCCCCTGTTTGAGACGTTTCTCGCTAAGTTCACAGTTGACATAGATGTTTCTTGCTGCATCATCTCAAATGGACGATACAACTGCAAAATGCAAACCTGAAACCCAACCTCCACACCCCAGGAAAGTGCCGCTTTGGGCTTCTTCCCTGCATCGACAGAGCTGGGCCCCTTTGGCGCAAAGCAGCTGCTTGGGGTGAGGGTGGCTTAGGGTTTAGGGTTTAGGGTTTCGGGTTTAGGTTTTAGGGTTCAGGGTGTAGGGTTTAGGGGTTTAGGGTTTAGGTTTTAGGGTTTAGGGTTTAGGGTCTTTTAGGCCGGACCCAGAGTCTGGTTGGATTCCGAGCAGACGAAACTTCCAGGTTGCCATTCCAAAACGTAAAGACTCCAAGGCTCAAAGACCCTAGTCCTAAGCTTTATGGCCTTATGGTGCCTGAGACACCAAACATCACCAAACACTCAATACCGGACCCAATACCTTCATTTTAAAAGCTCCACGTTAATCCCGAATGCAAAGGCTTGTTGGCCTACGACGCTGGGTCCTTTGCGGAAGCAGAGCAGCATTTGGAGGCCGCTGTCCAGGGCGATGCTGAGGCGCGTATTTGTTGAAAGGTTTGGGTTTTGTGCTATTTTCAGGTTTCAAGGTATACATGTGTTATGGCGGCCAGATATCCAAGTGGTGTTGCTAGGCGTTCTGTCCCCAGCCCGCCTTTTCCAACGCACGTGGAAGCCTGGCTAATTTCTGCTCGTATTCCTTAGGGGTCTTTGTGATAAATATGTCCAACCTTATCATATACCCCGAAAGCCCTAGTCGTATTATCCTAACGTGGAAGTGAGGAGGTCGCTGCTTCGGTTTAACCAATCCTCAGCCACTTTGACTCACCTCCTGCAGCCCCAATTTGCTAACAAGGGTGGCGTTCTCCCTGAGAGGCATGGGGATATCTGGCGACCGTACGACGCCTTGGCAGAATCGGAGATCCCATCAGATACCGACTCCGAAGATAGATTCGGCTGCAGGCAGAAGCACTAAATTACTCACTCCAGGATTTCCGAAAAAGGCGAGTCAGCCTCACCCTAAACCCTAAACCCTGAAACATTAGTTGGCCCAGGCCCCCATGACTTGAAGCTTGGAACCCTAGGACCAGTCCTCGAGCCTTGGAACCGAAGACACAAACTCCCGAACGTTGAGTCCTTGGGGCTTCGGGGTGAATTCCCTGTATATATATATATATGTATATATATATATATATATAGAAAATGTAAACACATCAGACGTATGTTTATTCATCGTCATCATACGAACGTGTTTTCAAGCGCTTGTTTGTCTCTCTTCTGCTCGTCCTTCAACTTCGCTTCCATTGTGTCGTGAACCCTCCATGCATGCAGTACTTGGAGATTCAGGGGCAATGACAAGTGGAGTTATGAGTAATCAGGGTGGCTATAGTTGTGACCCATAGTAGTGCATGTACTTATAACCCCCACTTAGAAGTAGAACTACACATAAATGAACCTCCAACTAGTCGCCTTCTCCCGTCTCCAGACCTACAGGGTGACAATGCCGAAATGGCGCTACAAGTAGTGCTGCTCGTGTTGCAAGCTGAGTCAATGCTCTTGCCTCCAGGACTGGGTAACAACATACTAAACCCAACCCGAAACCCTAAACCCTCACCTACCCCAGGCTCCAGAACGCAAACAATACGAAATCCTGCCCCCTCAAACGACCCTAAGCCCAGGGATGTGCCTCGGCAACGGCAGCAGCGCCGCTGCCATTTGGCAGCGCCTTGCGGAGCGTGGGGATGCGGAGGCCAGCTGAGTGCAAGCAGGGTTTGTGTCTTGGGGTTTCAGGGCTTCGGGTTTTGAAGCTTAAGGGCTTAGGATTCTTTTCTGGCGTTATAAGTGAAAGGTTTGGCGGTAGCTGATTGGCAATTGTTTAGGCCCCTATACCGTAGAAACCTACTATAGATCCCTTATAGAAGCCCTTAATGGGCCCCTTTACAACATGAAGGCATCGGGATTTGCTGGTTTCAGGCTTGTGGGATTGTTGGATTTCCCGGGCTTGGCAGTTGGGGAAGCTAGCGACCTGGAGTTCAGGGCTTAGGGTTTAGGGTTTGGCATGGTGATGATACAGCATGATATAGCAATTTTATGGTGGTAGTTATAATCTAGAATTTTATGGTAATCTTATTTCTTTCGTAATATTCTAGTTCCTGGTGTACTGCGAAGCTCATGCTTTTGGCCATTTATGCGTGGTTGAATGCTCCTGTGTTTGATTAACATATTGCGAATCTAGTAGAACATGTTCTAGACCTCATACAGCAAGGCTTTCTTCAGCCATCATATTTTTTGCACATAAGAGAACGAGACAGACAAAGACACGGATGTTCTGGATAGACACACATACACAGATGGATGACAGCGGCGTTTTGCTAGCGATCTTGAATCAGACCGCACCATAAACCTAAGTCCTACAGCCCTTAACTACGAATCCTACAAATCCACGCCGAGGCCCAGTTCCACCTCGGAACCTGCTTCTTGCGCGGCAGCGGGGTCGGAACTCGCGATGCACTGGCTCAGGGTTTCGGAAGTAGGCCGATGCAGTAGCGATATGAGTAGCAGTAGCAGTGGCAGTAGTAGCAGTAGGCGCAGTGGTAGCATAGCAGTGGTAGCAGTGGTACCACTAGGAGTAGTAGTAGTAGTAGTAGTAGTAGTAGTAGTAGTAGTAGTAGTAGTAGTAGTAGTAGTAGTAGTAGTAGTAGTAGCAGTAGTAGTATTCGTAGTAGTAGCAGTAGCAGTAGCAGTAGCAGCAGCAGCAGCAGTAGCTGTAGCAGTAGCAGTAGCAGTAGCAGTAGCAGTAGCAGTAGCAGTAGCAGTAGCAGTAGCAGTAGCAGTAGCAGTAGCAGTAGCAGTAGCAGTAGTAGTAGTAGTAGTAGTAGTCGTAGTCGTAGTAGTAGTAGTAGTAGTAGTAGTAGTAGTAGTAGTAGTAGTAGTAGTAGTAGTAGTCGTAGTAGTAGTAGTAGTAGTAGTAGTAGTAGTAGTAGTAGTAGTAGTAGTAGTAGTAGTAGTAGTAGTAGTAGTAGTAGTAGTGGCAGTCGCAGTCGCAGTCGCAGTCGCAGTCGCAGTGGCAGTGGTAGTGGTAGTGGTAGTGGTAGTGGTAGTGGTAGTTGTAGCAGCAGCAGCCGCATGTTTCGGACTATTCTCACGCTTCTCGTTTTCCAAACGTGTTGTCATATGCAGTAGTATTTCTTGAGCTTCACATGACATTTTGAGTTTTGGACAGAATTCAGGGCAACCAGGCGGTTTTGGTTGTTGATGTACTGAGGCAGTGAGATGTCCTGAACCCCAAACCGTGGTCTTTGAAGCATCAGAGTTGTTGGGTTCAGAGATTCACACGATGCTGAATTGCAAAGTTAGCGGAGTTAGCCGCCTAAAATCCCGGGCATCAGGAGTGGATGAGGAGCGTGCATTGCAGCTGCTGCAAGCTTCGTGCGATGCAGGGAGCGAGAGGGCAGCGGCGTTGCTGCAGGAACTGGACAACGTGTCTGATGGGGCAGAGATGAAAAATAGCAACGTATTCAGTTGTTTGTGCTTGGTGTTGTCACTCGGAAGCTTGTTCCACGACAGCCAGACAAGACAGAAGCTAACGCGGACACGGATAGGATTATATGGAGAGGTTGCTCGAAATCGCAGTGGCCGGCAACTACTAAGTGGAAACTTGACAGTAAGATTCAGCAGCAAGTGGAAGCCAGCGAAGATAGCATAGATGTGCCCACCCAGCTTCACGGCCGAATCGGACCTTGTCCAAGCTTAAGCTCAAAGCAATCAGAGCCAGCTGTTCTTTTGGCCATGTGCTGACTTGCATCGTAATGAACAGCAAACCCAAGAACTCCAAAATCCCAAACCCCTAGCCACAACCCGCAACCCTACGCCAAAAGCCCCCTAAAGCCTGAGATCCCTGGCTCTGCAAGCCCTCAGACCCAAACCGCCAAACCGAATCCCTGGCCCCAAACCCTACAACCCTCAAAGCCTTAAGCCCCCAATGCTGCCTATCGGGAAGCTCTATAGGCCCTCAAACCTGGGAGCCCCTAAACTTCTGCACTACACCCGGCCAACAGATCATGAACCATAAACCCTAAACCGAGCCATCAAGCCCCGAATCCCAAACCCCATTAAGCCCGAGACTTCCGTTCAGCTTCAGCCACAATCCTCAGCACAACCGGTAATAAATCGCACCTTGAGCCCTTAAACCCAATGCCGACACCCCTGAACTCCCTCACTTCCCAGACCCTGGACCCTGAACCCGAATCCCTATACATAATCCTTGAATCCATAACCCTAAGTCATGAACCTCAAAACCTTGAACCCTCAATCCCCAAAGCTCCCAATCCAACAACCCTGAACCCGATACCCCTCAACCGCAAAAGCCCCAACCCCTAAACCCTAATGACCCCTAAACCCCTAAACCCTGAACCCTAATGACCCCTAAACCCTAAAGAGGCCTTCAAAAAAACCTAAGCCCGACCCCCATGAACACCAAAAGCCCAACCCCTCAAAAGAGCCGGAGCAGGCCAGACCAACGAGTCGGCATCACCCAGGCTACAACTGTTTTTTGTTTTTCCCAACTGGCTCAAGGAGTTTAAAGCCTTTAGGGGTTTGGGTTTCTAAGGTTTGCAGGGTTTAGGTTTAGGATTTAGAGGGTTTCTAGGGTTTGAAAGGTTTATAGGGTTGGTAGGGTGTTTTGGGTTTGGGGTTTACGGTCCAGCGTCTCGGGTTTGTTACATGATGCAGGGGTGATAAGGCGTATCTTAGGAGTCCTCCTGACTGGGTCCCTTTATTTTTGGTATGGGGGTAGCCCAGGGCTGTTTGGAAGTTGAGATTTCGGGTTCGGGTTCCGGGGCAAGATCTCCAAAGAATCCGGATCATTCAATCTGATTCAATCTCCACGCACCTCCAGCAACTCCGCCACAACTCGTGTCAGATGCCGTCTTGAGAAGACGAACCCTGAGATACAGGGGTTTGAATAACGATAGCCGCCGTACAACTAAGCCAGAACTGACTCCAATCATACTCGTAGGGCCGTTGCGTAGTACATATACTGAACTTGTTGGACTCGCAAAGCTCTTTCCAGAGCCCATAGTGACTCCAGAATCATGCAAGCTCACCGGTCAGTCCTAAACCCTAACCACGAAACTACGTCAATCTCACACCAACATAGATAGATCCCTGTATAAAACCCTTACAGAAGTCTATAAACCCCAGAAAGTTACCCTAGGATGCTAAAGACCAAAGCCCCATCGGTCGGAGAGGCATCTCAGGAACTTCCTGAGGAGTTGTCCGAGATCGAGTCGTCCATTGAGGAGGCAGGGATTTCGCGTCGTATGGGGATGATGTTTCAGGGTTAAGGGCTTACGGTTTCTTCACGTCAGTGTCTGTCTGAAACAGCATCGGTCTCTGCACGCCCATAAGATGGCTGGGCGTGCGCGTGGCGGTTTTCAGGTCAGTTGAGGGCGTGCTTGGCAGCCTTTGTGTTAGTCTGCTAGTGGAATCGATGTGGTAACACTTACCTGCGCCGCGCCGGCTTACGAGCTCATGCCATTTACGAATCCCCACACTCGAAACCCTATCACCAGGAAGTCAGGCAATCTCAAGCTGAAGCCGTGAAGCCCCACACCCATACCCTGCAATCTTGGCACTATAAAGTCTGAAACACACACATGACTGTACATGCTAAATGGGGGATTCCGAAAATCGGGGACCTTAATATAGTACCCTGGATAGTAGGATCCTTATTATAAGGACCCCCAAATAAGGTACCCCCATTTTCGGAAACTCCCAAATATGTACTATCGCAGTCCCAACCACCGGCCTCTACCTCTCACTCCTCCGAACCAAACGAGAGCAAACCCCCTAAAGCCGACACGGTAAGCCCTAAACCCCAATCCGTGGCCTTAGCGCTGAACCCTTAAACGCAAGCACCTACCCATCCGAAGCACAAAGCCCTGGGACTCTACACCATAGTACAGCCCAACACTCCCACCGAGCGTGAACCGCGAGGATGCAGATCGAAGCTATCCGGAGGACTTCGCCGATGATACGGGCACAGGCGCGCGCCAGGGCTTCGGTGTAGGGCCCCCTGCCCTCGAAAGCTCTACAGAGCCAAGCACTCGAAACTAGAAGCCCTTAGGCTTGGCTTAGCTTTTGAAGCTCATCACACCTCGCTACCCAAGTCACCAACATAATTCGCCACCCACATGCTTCACTGAAACTCCCAGAACCCCCAACTCGCACCTGCACGTGTACAAATGTACTTGCTCCGCCAAGTGTATCGCGATCAAGGACATCACTGCCTTCTTCGTTTGTGCCATTCTTGTTAAGGCGATCCTCCCTCGCGTGATTCGTCACTGCTTCCTGGTCGCCTTAGCTGTCTTTAGGTTCCTCTACACCGCTGCTGTTGCAACTGCTGTTCCTGCTGTCCTTACTTCCGGAGAGGTTTCGAAGGCCCCTCCACCAAAAGCATGGTTTCCGGCCTTCAAGTGCAGGGCTTGGGCTTAGCAGTGAACCTTAAAACTTAATGAAAAGCTGCAACCCTAGACTCCTAAAAGCCCTAAGCCTTAAACCCAAACACCCTAAGGTAAAAGTCAGAAAGTTGGAATATGATTATCCTAAACCCAGGGCCCAAATCGCCTGCGCAGGGCAGGAATATTGTAGGCCCCAGCACCCGCCATGGGTGCGTCTGCCGGCTACGGGCAAGCAATGCATAGCGGCAAGTGTGCCATGCACAAGCTGGGCATTCAGGTTTTGCATTCACCCGACATGATGGCGATCATGGACGCAAAGGACACACTGTGTAAGGTGACTTTGTTGAGCATTCGTTCGGAGGACATGCTCGCAGACCACACAGCAGATGAGTTTGCAACTGGCTTCAAGAAGAGGCCGGCTTTTCAGCTGCGCGGCATCAAGCAGAACAGAGGCTCGTCATGCGAGGGAGAATGGATCACCAAGCGGCAACCTAGCAGCTCATGCCCTTCACCTGTTGCGATGGTGTTTACGGGTTCGAAGGACATGCTGTGCAGAGTGGCCATATTGAACATGGGCTGGGAGGACTCGCTCGCACCACTCACCATAAAGGAGTCTGCGACTGGCTTCAAGAAGTCGCTGGCTTTCAGGCCGCACGGCATCAAGCAGAGCAGAGGCTCGTCAGGCGAGGGCGTTTGCACCACCAAGCGGCAACCTGGCAGCTCATGCACTTCACCCGATGTGATGGTGTTTATGGGCTCGAAGGACATGCTGCGCAAGGTGGCCATGTTGAACATATGTGTGGAGATGGTTTGGAGGACAATGCTCGCACACTTCACCGTGATGGCTGCCATCAAGAAGACGCCGGCTTTTCAGCTGAGAGGCATCAAGCAGAGCAGAGGCTCGTCAGGAATTTGCGGCTGGCTGCATGAAGACGTCGGCTTTCCAGCAGTGCGCCATCAAGCAGAACAGAGGCTCGTCAGGCCTTCGATCTAATGACGCTGACTCCGCTATCCTGGCTTAGCAGTTCCTGATCATGTAAGTGAGTGATGCTGGAGCGCTTTAGATTTGCGTGTGGAGGTCCTATGGCCTTCATGCTATGGTTGAGTTTGATGTCCCGATATCACCTCGATGAAGGTGTTAGACATCCTGGGTATTGTAACCGTGTAGGAATGGCCTCAGCTGATACCCATGAGGAAGATCCTGCACGTCTTGGGTCCGATATATGGATCGTGCGTTGTCTGATGCTTTGATCGCCGTTTACGGAATACAAAGCATCCTTTGTTTGCCGTGCATTCTCAGGCATTCTTCCATGCGCCATCTTTGATTTTGTTGTGGGGTTGGGACAGCTTTTCCGTTTGCTGGCTACTTCCCACCCCTGTCCGGTGAGCGCATACTATGTCAATAGATTTCTGCGCCACCCCACTTTCAATTAAATGCAGTTTGAATTCACCTTGCTAGGCGAGCGTCGTTTACCGACTCAACCGCAGAGAATGAAATGAATCCTAAACCATTTATGGTAAATTATAAGGTATCCTACCCTGAAACCATATTCCAACTTTCTGGAGTTTCCTTTAAGACTACACCTCACATCTTGGGGCTCTCAGTCTTAGGCTCCGAATCTTCTTTCACTCTTTTTTTCAATGTGGGCGGTTGTCAAAATTGTCGTCCCTTTTTAGGTCCCTAATATAATACGGCACCTAATATTTAGGGTGCCCAAAAAGGGATCCTAATTTTGACAACTACCCATGTGGTCCTCATAACGTTTTGCTTCGGCTCGTGGGGGTTGGAAGGGAGAAGGGCCTGGAACTGATTTCGCGGAGGTTCCGTGGAGTTTACTTCGGGTTTGGGAAGAGTTGTAGTGACTAATGACTAATACCTGTATTGTCACATCTATCTACCTATCTCCCCATCTACCCATCTACCCATCTGTCCATCCATCCATCTCTCCATCTATCCACCTCTCCACCTATCCATCGATTCGTTTGTCGATCTGTCTGTCTGTCCGTCCGTCTGTCTGTTTCCATCTATCTATCTGAGAGTTTAGGAAAATAACGGGACCTTAATATAGTACCCTAAAGAGTAGGATCCCTATTATCAGGACACCCCCCAAAAGAAGGTACCCCTGTTTTTGAGAAACTCCCATCTGTCTATCTGGGTGGTTGTCAAAATCATGGTCCCTTTTTGGGTCCCCAGTATAGTACGGGCACCGAATATTTGGGTACCCCAAAAAGGGACGCCATCATTTTTGACAACCACCCATCTGGATCTATCTATCGTAGATGGTCTAGGATGCCCAGTAGTACCCTTATTCCCTTTTTGTAGTCCTAGGTTCCTTATAAAGTTACCCAATACCAAAGAAGAGAGGCCTTTTTATTCTTAGGTTACTGGGTATCCTAGTGGTGGTACCCCGGAGGCACCTTGGATCGAAGCGAGCCGAGGTCGGCCGGGGGCTTCGTTTTTTTTCTTTTTGTGCATGTTAGACTACTGTTGATGATATAAATCCTGCATGACCTTAAGGACCTTAAACTATGGAAATTATGGTATATGTTATGGGTAATGCAGGATTTATATCATCAGCCGTATCCGTTGTTTTTTCTTAATGGGGGTTGGGGGGTTCTGGGTTACCGTTTAGGGGCGCTTAAAGTTGAGGTGAAAGCGTGCGCCTTGGGTGTTTGGGTCGGGGTTTAAGGCCTGGGCTGTGCTGCTCAGGGTTTGACGGTGGGGCGCGAGCTTTGTCCTTTCAAGTTCTGCTGGGAGGGTTACTTGAAGGCTCATGGGACTTAGTAAGTAGGGTTATAAGTAGGTTATGATTAGGATAACCCCACTTAGGGGACTTATAACCCCAATTATAACCTACTTACTAAGTCCCATGATCCTCTAAGTACTCTCGGGCATGAAGGGCCCTGTGTTCTGAAGTGCCGCAGTCGCTGTCCATCGTTGAGCCCTCACTGAAACCAAGGACTTGGCAGCTTAAGGCCCAAAGGGTCCAAGTATCATTATGGTATATACTTACCGCCTATTTTGGGGGTCTAAGTATATACCATAGTGATACTTGGACCCTTTGGGAGGGTCAACAGCACCGGCTCCCAAATACCACAGACGCTGCTGGGCATTGATACCCTTCATGCAGTAGGAGGAAGGTAGGTGTTGACAACTTTGCAAACTACAACCAACCAAAGGCATGAGCCTGGCGGGTCGGACGAGAATCCAAGCGCACATGGCGTGTGCGGCCCAAAGCCTTACACAGTCTCTGTAAGCCCCAAACCCGCAACCGCCTGAGCCCCGAAGATCCCTGAACCCGAAGCTTTGTATCCACAGCTGTGAACTCCGGCACAGACCCTGAACCCTCATCAGACTCATCAGATCTAGAAGCCCTGAACCCAAAATCCCACAGAGTGAAACATGGAAGGCAGAGTGCAGCTGCGTCGCCTCGCAGTTTGACTTCCGACAAGGTGCCGGCCAAAAAGGTTCCATAAAGAGCTTTGCTTGGTAGGAGTGACACTGTTTTTTTGGTGGTTTTTGCAATCCCAAGCGAGTAACTCGCTTCGTCAATATGTCACGTCTCACCGAATGAGTTTTCTGCATGCTGTCCCATAGTAGGGTGACTAGTTAGTGGTCGGGATACGCCTCCAAACATAACGCTTGCAGCCCTAGTTTCAACTACATTTTCTATGAGCCCTCGGGCACGAAAGATATGTGGATAGGCCCTTAATTGACTGCCACGTCTCATTGTAGGTCAGAAGCACAGACTGCCAGGTCTGTTGGTTACGGCCTGAGTCAACAACTCGGCAGCGCAACACCATCTGGTAGTACCTGAGGTCCGTATCCCGAGGGCCCTCCCAGGTCATCCAGTCTCTCCTAAACCCTAAACCCTAAACTCTAGCCTGCAAGGAGCAGCAACAAAACCTCGGCTCTGCACACAAGATCTGTACGAACCCGTGGGCAGCTGTATAAAGCCCATCACCTCACTCTACACGTCTGGGAGGAAGCGAGCTACTCGGAAGATTTCGCGGAAGCCACGCTGGAGGCGACCATGGAGGACCTCAGGGGATGCACAAGTACAACATACATAGGGACCTGAGTAATTGATTAGGGTTCGTAGGCACCCTCGATTAGCTTTGCAGTTTTGGGGTTTGGGCTTTTCCTTCTCTCCACCGGCGGCCCGGGCCACAGCCCTCTGCGTGATCCAGTCCCTTGCTGTGTGGAGCGACCTAGACACAAGATCTTAAAGTACGAAACAACCTCCGCCCTGAGTTTTAACCACCGAGACCCCCCCGAACCTCGAGACTCCCTAACTGCAGACCCGACTCTGCCCGAAGCCCCGCTCTCCCCCTGCCCGCTCTCCCCACCCTCACAAAAAGATCAAAAAAAGAGCCGAAAACCTCGCAGCCCCAAGACTTCAGAGTCCTTGACTCCGAACGACGAAGCGCGGAAAGCGCCCCAACAGGAGGCTCTTCCCACTCCGGACATCCCGCGCGAAGCCAAGCTTCCGTTCTTCTCGACTACAGGGGTTTAGGGTTTAGGGTCACTGCACGGTCAGGGTTGTACCAAGACCTCCTCATTGTTAGGGTCCTAGTGCGTTCGTTTGTACGTCAGCGCTCCGTTTTCGACCTCCGGGTTTCGGGAAAGCGTCAGCACTTCGTCTTGGGCGCAGGCTGCAAGGTTTCCGAGGATTCCATTCGAGCCAAAGCTCGGATCCCACGTTCCGGGAGACTTTTGTTGGGTTCAGGAGCTTGAGGGACCGGCAGTTGCCAAAACGTCGGGTCGGTTAAGACGCAGAGCGCCCCAAAGAGTAATTATCATCGGACCCTCGACACGTACTCCCGAAGATCTAGGGCCATCTAGGGCACAGGATTTAAGGCCCGGATCCGTATCAGCCTTAGAATGTGAACGAGCGCCTTGATGGGGTGCGCATGACAGTAAATCTGAAATTGCAAAGAAGTCTGGAGGTGTCAAGATAGCACACAGAACCCCTTGCACAATCCCAGTGGAACCCTATACCCTAAAACGGTAGTTCCCAAACCATATCTGCCCTAAGCTACCCAAAGGGGGTCCTTAAAGCTTGCACAAACCGTCTCGCCAAGGCGCGCCACCTTGGACAGGAGCCACCCGGGACCGGGCAAGAGTGAAGAGATTCGGGTTTAGGGTTTAGGGTTTAGGGGGTTACCCTAAGGGTTTTATAGGGCTTTCGGGCTCGGGAAAATTCGGAAGTTGCCTTTAATCGCTGGTTGGGGTTTAGGGACCGTTGCAGTTTAGGGGGGCTGGAGAAAGGGGAGCAGCCCCCTGATTTAAGGGATCGTGTAGGGGGCTTTCAGGCTTGGTTTTGCTGATTTTCGGCTTGAGGGTGCCTCCGGTTTCCAAACTCAGGGGCCATTGAAGATTTTAACAATCTACAAGAGCCCTAAACCCTGAACCCTAAAACTGAAGGATGAACTATGTATGGAGATTTCCCTAAAGAGGCCATGAATAGTTACTGGGATCTTCCACTGGAAGAACGGTACCCCTGGGTCCTAGGAAGCCCTCGGAATGAATTTGACGACTTTTAAAGCAGGGTCGGGCCAGAAAGCACTACTCCCTAAACCTTAAACCCCTTAAACCCCTTAAACCCTTAACCCCTAAAGCCCTAAACCCCTAAACCCCTAAACCCCTAACCCCTAAACCCCAAACCCCTAAACGCCTAACCCGCAACACCTGTAAACCCTATAAGCAGCCCTCCTCTCTGAGCTCCTGGCCAGGCGTCAAGAGATAGCTTTGCGGCAGCAGGCCGGGTTCAGACCCGTTAGTGGATTGGGGTTTAGGGATCCCAAATTCAATCTAGAAGCCAACAGAACTACGGTAGACCAATTTTACTTCGAGGTGTCGGTTTTGAAGTGCGCTCCTATACTTTAGGCCATAAGCATCAACCCTGCAACCTAGTCTTCTTGTATGGGGGCTTTAAGCTATAGCTCAAGACTCTGCATTCTCATTGTCGGAAATTTTACGCTAGAACACTGGACTGAACCTAAGTTGGAAGATTGAAGCTGGAACACCCTAAACCCTAAACCCTAAACATCGAAACCCGCAAGCCTCCCAATGTCCCGAACCTTGAAGCCGACAGCAGCCGGATCACCCTGAGCTCCCTTCGCAGGCGGACTCGAAGAAAGTGATCGTGCCACTGGTACCAGTGGCGTGCTTTTGTGGAGCTGAGGGTTTAGGTAGGGCTTATGGCCGGTTTCGGGGCTGTTTCCGGGAGATGTGAAAACTGAGGACTCTAAATAGACCGCTTCCTGTGAAAGCATCCTTCCCACCATCCCGGCCTCATGTCCCGTCCCGATACCCTGAAAACCCTCGTCTCGGCTCTGCTGTCGACTGCGTCGATCAACAAGCCAGGGCATGGGTGATCGAAGCTCATCGATGTCGTGGTCGGGTGCATGGGCCGTAAGAGTTCAAGGCCCGGAAGCCCACCCCACCCCCCTCCCTAAACCGTGAACGCCGAGGCCCAGCAGCCGGCTAGCCCCAAGCCATTACCCAAAGGCTCCGACCCTGTAAACCCTCATAGGTGTTGAACACTGGCCTCTTGGCCATTGCCAGGTTCCAGAGGACGATGACATCGAGGAAGAGGAGTGGTTTAGGGGCCAGGTACTCGAGAAGTCGAAGTTCGACGTTTGTGGTTCAGGGTCTTTGCCCTTAGGCCGTAAGCTCGGGTCTTCGTGTTGAGGGTTTTGGGGCTGTCTTGCATGGGGTTCGGGCTAGGAGCTCTACACCCTTGGCCAGAGACGTCAATCTGCAGGTCGACAGACGGGTTCTCCAAATCAGGGTCCCTTCTTGGGTTCCTCACGGTTAGCGCGACATGCTTAATCAAGCCCCAGAAATGTGAGCCACTTGAGAGAACTATCTGCATGCTACACCTTAGAGCCTTTCTCCTTGCCTCAATGCCGTATCCGAAAGCCTAAGGCCTAGACCAATAAGAGTAGACCTACCATCTTAGGCTCGAAGCCTACACCCCACTAAAGCCTGAACCTTTGCTCCTTGAGCCCAGGGCATTAATCTCCGAAGCATCTTTCAGGACATTCCGGAGGGTGGAGATTTCAGTGAGGATGACCTTGAGGCGACACCACAGAGAGAGAGAGAGAGAGAGAGAGAGAGAGAGACAGACAGGCAGAGAGACAGAGAGAGAGAGAGAGAGAGAGAGAGAGAGAGAGAGAGAGAGAGAGAGAGAGAGAGAGAGAGAGAGAGGGGGAGAGAGAAACTGCGAACTGGACGGACTTTCCCGGGGACGTTCTGCATTCCCGAACCCTGCACATTGGCAGAAGTAGCAGGGCTAGCAGCAGCAGCAGCCGCAGAAGTAGTGGTACTAGCCATAGCAGTAGCAGCAGCTGTGGTCGGGGTCGGGTCGTGGTCGTCGTCCCTCGCTATCACCGTGGTCCTGACCGAAGGCACGCGGTAGGGCAAGACACGCTTCGGCATGGGCTTGCAAGCATAATCATCGCGGATATGACACCACATTTGTGTGTGTGGCTGGCCCATGTTCAGGGTAATTAATGCTTAGCAGCCACGGTTTGCATGTAGCACTTCATCATGCAACGATGCAAAACCTGCGACTGACCGATCGCCAGACTGGCTAGCAATAGAATTCTTCGCAGCCCGTACCCTGTACTCTTCCATCTTGCCCAAACCATGCCAACTTCAATGCAGAAAGCTTTGACTTAAACCTCAAGGACCCATACCATAAGCCTGAAGCACAATCGATTCCACCTTGGCGAGGGCTCCAGCTCAATGTACGACCCGGAGGTTGCGCTTTGGGAATGGTTCCTGGAACGTTTAGGGTAGTCAAGGTTACTGCCAGGGTTTAGGAGCTTCGTTGTCAGGGCTTACTTGGAGGATCATGGGACTTAGTAAGTATGGTTATAAGTACCTTAATTGGGGTTATAAGTATAGTTCCCGTAGTAATAACCGTAATTACTATAAGTCCCATGATCCTGTAAGTAGGGTTATTTGGTTTTGGGGTTTGGGTGCAGCGTCCGGCGTCTAGGCATTGTTAAGTGGCTTTCGGCTTGTGGCGTGAAGTTCCAATTTAGAAGGTTTTCAGTCTCAGTGATGAAGCTTTAAGTTTAGGGCCTACCTTAACCCAAATAACCTCCATTTTGAAGGATTTCTATAAGGACATCATACTAGGGAGCCTTAAACAAAAGAGGTTTTATAGGGTCCAGGCAGTGAATCTGTTGCAGCTTACTTGGTATTTTCGCGTTTCTCCGGAGTCTTGATTCCCGCGTATGATGGTGCGGTCGCAGTGGAAGCAACGACGAGAACAACAGAGATCAGAGCTGTGGGACTGTGCTACCAACATGCAACGGCAAGGTCACGCAGGAGCTTGTCCATCCTTGAACCAGCTAAACTTAAGCTTCCCCAAGCCCGAATTTTTGAGCCCTACGCCCAAGTTGTACTTGGGGCGACAACGTCACTTTGGTGCCAACCCCGCCCCTTATACAACCCTCTCCAAAGAAGCCATGTAGAGCAGGGTACTGAGTAGCGTTTGCGTTGCCAGCCCAATCGCCCAACGGGATACCCGCAAACTACACTCGCGAGTATTCCGGACCTTCAAAGTAAGTGCGCCGCTTGCATCGGCCACCTGAAGCTTCGTTTTGGCCGGAGCATGAGGTCTTGGAAGAGGTTTTGGTTTACAGGGATTGGGGTGCTGAGTTTATTTTTGGGTTTCAGGTGGAGGGTTCATGCAAGATGTCACGCACCGCAAGAAGTGAATCTTCCGACCCACGTTTTCCCACAAGACCCAGGTCCAAGTCCTGCCCTTACACATGGTGGTTCTTTTTCAGTTTTCCTTGAACCACATGTAAAACCCAAACAGGTTCGCCGAAGAGAGATGGAGAAGGAGGAGCAGCAACGAGAGGAGGAGGCCCATCACTGGGAGTCGTTCGTCGTTCCGATTGGTGGGCACGTGTTCTTTGCAGCCTCTTTAGCTCCCTTTGACTGCGTAGGCCTGCTGCGCGGCATCTCGAAACAGCCGCCGTGGAAACACTACGTCGCCCTGCACTAGTTTGGATTGAAGTTTAGTTTGGGGCCCTCTAATCCTAAAGCCTAAACCGAGAAAGCTTTTCAAGCAAGCCGTGAGTGGGACGTTGTCTGACCTGCGCCTTCGCAAAGCCCTCCAACCTCCGCATGCCATGCCGGCAGGAGCGTCTGCGCAGGGAGCAGGAGCAAGCCGAACAGGCTTCGAGGGATTCGGAGCCTCGGGATGGAGGTTCATAGTGGCCGACAGCATTCGCAAGCGTGGGGCCGCGGCAAGGGTTTGAAGAATGAGTAGTTGTCATAGGAATCAACAGCAATGGTAACACTACCTGCCTCTTATCATCGTGGTCGTCGTCGTCGTCCAATCCGAAGTCACAGCCGCGGCCATGGTGGTGCAGCAGCTGTAAGCAACATAACAAACACCGAGGAGGAAGATGAGCACGAGGAGAATGGATCGTCGTAGTGGCAAGCAGCGGTTGTGAAGTAGTAGCAGCAAGAGCAAGAGCGGCTGGAAAGTAGTGGGAACATCATGTCAGATATCGTTCAAAAAGGTCATCATAGCGCCCTGTAGCCCCAGCTGGCATGCCTTAGATCTCGTCTTCAAACGAAAACTCGTGTCTGTGGCAACTCATCTGATCCACACCCCCCCTCCCCTGAATCCTACAAGAGACTCATGACTTGCGTCCGGCAAACTCCTGCAGCCATCAACCCTATACCCCAAACCCCGAACCTCCAGGCGCGCAAGCAAAAAGAGATAGACGAGGCAAATCGCCGGCTGGCTGCAGAAAGACAGCGCAAGCTGGAGGAAAGCTGAGGGTTTGGCATCGGGGGAGTTCGCAGCTTTTTCGTTGTTGGTTGAGTGCGTTGGCGAAGGCTTCGAGATTCTGGAGTTGAGGCTGCTTCTGTAAGCCCCATACAGAGAGTTGAACTATGCTTCGGTGAGGACTTTTACGACGATTTGTTCGCAGTATTTGGTGTGCCTCCTTCCTACTAGTACTGTGTTTCCTTCATTTGCTGGCGCTCGATGTCGGCTTGCAGGGTCGAAGCCGCAAGCTTCAGCTCCAACTTGGCTGGTCGAAAATACTTTCGGGGGATTGAGGGTTTCAAGAGCTCTAGGCTCTAGGGCCTCTAGGGAGATCAAAGTTGAGCTGAGAGTGTCGCTTTCCCTCCCCGATCCAGGCTCTTAATCTTAACCCGAAGCCGATAATCCCAAGGCCCCAAGGCGGAAAATTCGCCCTGCAGGAGGAGAGGAAGCGCGAAGAGGAGGAAGCCTTCCGAAGGAAGCAGCAGGAGGAGCTTCAGCGTGAGCAGGCCCGGAGAGCGGAGGAGCAACGTAAACAGGCGGAAGAGGCGGAGAGGAAGAGGGAGGAAGAGAGGAGGAAAGCGGAGGAGCAAGAGACCAGAAGGAGGGAGGAAGAGAGGAGGAAAGCCGAAGAGGAGACCAGGAGGAGAGAGGAGGAGCAGCGAAAGAAATCCGAAGAGGAGAACATGAGGAGGGAGGAGGAACGCAGGAAAGCAGAAGAGGAGACCCGAAAGAGGGAGGAGGAACGGAAGAAAGCGGAAGAAGAGACCAAAAGACAGGAAGAGGAGGAGCGAAGGAAGGCCGAGGAGGAGGCAAAGAAGAGGGAAAAGGAGGAGGCAGAGCGCCGGAAGGCTGAAGAAGAGCTCCTGCAGAAGAGGGAGGAGGCCATGCGAGCCATACCTTCCCAGGTTCGGCAGCAGGCCGTGGCGTCCGAGGAACCCGGGGAGCCCCAAAAGCAGCGGCAGATGATGGAAGCCCAAGCTCGAGAGCTGCAGGAGCCCGACAGGCCGAAGCAGCCTGATGATGTGGAAGGACTAGTGCCCGAAGTGCTCAGAAGCACACCGGAGAGCCCAGCAAAGGACTCCAACTTTGCGAGCCCTTTGGTAGCAGGCGCAGGCCTCAGACCGCGTCGCTTCTCCGGCACCTGGATTCAGACGGAGCTGGACACAGCAGGGCACCTGGAAGACGGAGAGATCCCCCCTCAGGCAGCTCCGGGTCCTGACAAGAGCCGAAGCTATCAGATGGAGCCTTCGCGGCAGACGGAGCTTCGTTCACGCCCGTGCAGTGACAACGTCTGGTCTTCGCCGAAGTCGCAATGGGACGAGCAGAGGACCTGTTTAGGGATGAGGGTGGGGAGTAGGCTTAGGGTGTAGTATTCTTAGCCTAGCCAAGTCGATTTATTCTGTTGCTTTGTCATTTATTTGTCTGTTTCTTCCTCTGTTTTCAGTCGATGCAGTTGTCCTCCCCGTTGTCCTGTGTGCTATGATCTTGGATTGACACCGTCATCCTGATCGTGGAGAGCATGTTCACTTGTGCCATCATCTTCTGTCTGGTTCTTAGCAGGGAATGGGGGAATGGGTTATGGGGACCACTATTGGGGGGATGATATAGGGACTACATGGGACTTCTTAGTAGGGATTGCGGGAATGGGTTATGGGGACTATTATTGGGGATGAGATAGGGACTACTATAGGGATCCATTCCCCCATTCCCTACTAAGCACCACGGAGTTATGGGGACTATTATTGGGGGTAATATCGGGACTGCTATAAAGATCCATTCCCCCCATTCTTGGAGGATCATGGGGCTTAGTAAGTATGGTTATAAGTACCTTAATTGGGGTTATAAGTATAGTTACCTTAATTTAAGAATAACCGTAAGTACCAAGTCCCACGATCCTTTAAGTTCCCCACTATGCACCAGGGAGTGTTTTGAGCAGAGGACTGCGTCCACGACTGCAGGGGACCGGAGCTATCGAACCGGCTGGTCCTCCAGGTGGGAGCAGGCGGGCGCGGCCGGCGATGCATGAATCAAATAATACAGCGGCTTTAGTAATTAGGATAGGGTTTGGGGGCCATTGTTATAACATAGTTGTAACAAGGACCCCCCCCCAAAAAAAAAAACAGAATTGGTAATTATTTAGGCCACTATAGTAGACAGGGACTTTTCCGTCTTTGCGATGTGGGTTAAATGGTGCGGAGGTCGGGACGAACTGTAGTATCAGACGTGAATCTCTCCGACATGCTTGGGTTGGCATCCTTGGCAAAGGCAACTGCTGTGAGATTTGCCTGACTCTGACACTTTCACTATTGATAGTACTCGAAGACCTTGCGTGCCAATGCTGCTCATAACGGTTCTGCTGCATTGACGATGTCCTCGTTGATTGCACACATCACGCAGGCGTAGTATAGCCGGTTGCGTGGGTGTAATGTTACGTATGTCATGAGTGACCATAGATCTGTCCAGCAGCCTAGCATTCAAGGCATCTTCCGAAGCAATGCAATGTGGTAATTATGGGCTGTCCTCCCCTCCCAAATCAAACAAGTCAGCCAGCAATGATTGTCGGGGCGATTGCAAGGAATGGCCTGATCGAGACGATTGGCGCGGGAGTTGGTGGGACCGCGACTGGCATCTTCAGCGCGATGAGGAGGAGACTGGTAGGTGCTTTAGTATGGCTTTGAAAGAGCTTGGGGTGTTGTTTGAACGGTTTTTGAGTGGTGCGTATAGTGTTTTGTTTTGAAGTGTGGGCTTGGCATTCGAAACTTAGGGTTTGGGAGCATGGGAGGGTTTAGACACTGCTTAAACCATTTTTGTGTATGGGTTTCCGTCAGGTTTTGGAACGAGTTCGAGGGCATTTGGGGAGTCCTTCTAGCTTGTTTAGGCGGTTAGAACTACGGGCCTACGGGCCAGAAGTTTAGGGTGTATCAGGGTGTGTGGTTTAAAGTCCTTAACCGCAGACCCTGAAACGAAACTGTAGAGCGATGCGAAGGACTTCCGGCCGTTTGAGGTGCGGAGTCAGGGGCGAGAGAGCAGCTCGGCAGGCAGAAGTCTCCGTTTCGTCCTGGTATAGGGTGTTTGACTTCCTGGACCTGAGCCCATAGGGTGGAGCGTTTGGAGTTTAGAGTTTAGGAGCCCGCATTCGACCTCTTAGCCTCAACTTTTTGATTAAGAATCGGAAGCTGACGGGGCAAGAGACAGAGAAGCCCTGTGCAGAAGGATGGGGAAGCTTGGGAGAAGACCTCCCGACCTGGAGCCAAAGACGTTCTAGGGATCTCTGGCCGGACACTCCCGGCCATTGGGAGAAAGAAAGCTGGCCACGGCAGGCTGCCGGTTGCTTGGGAGTTGAGGGATAATAATAAGAATAAGAATAAGAATAAGAATAAGAATAAGAATAATAATGATAATAATGATAATAATAATAATAACAATAATAATAGTAATATTAATAATAATAATACTATTAATGTTGAGGGTTTTGAGGATGTCTTGGTTTGGCGACAGGGTGAGGGGTTTCATGGTTGAGGATTCTGCACTGAGTCGATGTTGGAAACATCAGGAAGATTTATTGTCGAGTTTGTTCGGCTGTAACCACCAGACTTGTAAAAGCACCGCGATCCAACTCCCCAACACCTTCGACTCGACTCTCCCGCAAATCCCTGGACCTTTTCATTCTAAACTCTAAACACTCGACACTGAAGCCGTAAATCAAGAATCCCTGAAAAGTACATGTTCCCATTGCACTCGCAAAGAAGAAGAAACACCGAGCATCAAAAGTCCAGAAGTGCTGAAGTGTCCTCAAACCATTCGCTGAGCCCTAAACGCCGGACCAGGACAAAGAGAACTGCGTGAGCCAGCTTGGAGAGTGGGATTGGGAGCGGGCGCGCCGCAGCCCGTTCCTTGTCAGGATAGGCAAAAGCCCAGCCCCGCAAGACCATGGAATGAGAAGGAACCTGGATTTGTTGTATAACAGCCCCATAATACTTAGGATCTACTGGTATCGCTAAATGGCACTGTTGCCGGGTGACGGGTTTCGAAGGTTCATGGTCCAGGCTGGCTCTTAGTAGAGCTCCCTTTGGGCCACCAATGGGTCTAGGGTCGCGGTTGCAGGATTGTGGTAAAGAACTCACGGATTACACTCGGTGGACTAGGTAGGGCTTCAGGATCAAGCAGGGTGTTTCGTCCCCCATTCGACATTGAGTTGAAGTTGAACCACCCTAAACCCGAAACCGAAACCGCAGACTGAAAGCCCAAAACCCAACTTCCTTGAAGCCAAAAACACGGCCTACCTGGTCCCTTAAGGAACCTGCCTTTGTAGGGCTCCTTATTATTATTACTATTATTATTACTATTATTATTATTATTATTATTGTTTTTATTATTATTCATATGTCCAGGTGGTAGGGTTCAGAGTTCAGGATTCAGGGATCCCGATGTCTCAGCGTCTGTGAGCCAAAGGTCTCGCGCCTCGGGGCTCTGGCAGTCCCGGCCGAAGGCCGCAACTCTCAGATTGCCCGTGCCTGGAGAGCCCTACATGGGGGCTGTTCTAAATTATGGTCCCTTTTTGGGCCCTATAGTAGTATAGTCCTTATTATATGTGGTACCCAAAAAGGGACCATAATTTAGAACAACCCCCACATATTAACGAGAAGATAACTGTAAGATATTGTAAGATAGCTGTCTTATAAGTATAACAGAACTACAGGCCGAATGTAGCTGTGATATACATGTGTGTGTGTGTATTTGTATATATATATATATATATATATATGGTCACCCCCCCCCCCCCAAGATCCACACCCTCTCTGTTCCTCTCTCTCACTCATAACCAAGCGTTTCGAACCTACCTTCTCCATGTGCAGAACGTGCTGTAAATACCAGCGGGAACGGCTTCTCTGTAGAACAGCTACTTTGCTCATAGCATGTCTACAAACTCTTGACATCGAACATTTTGCACACCAGGATCTGGTTCCGAAATCAATGGCTTAGTGGGAGGCAGACTGCCAACACCAAAATACCGCCAAGGAACCAAAGGCATGACATAACTTGTATTTTTGGAAAAGTTTGTTGATATACCACTACGCACAATAGTATGCTGTCACTATCAATCTGATTTTACAAGCATTAGTGTTGAAAAGTGCTGTGCAGTCCTTTTCATTTGGGCTTGGGAAAGCCAAATTTTAGGGACAGCACAGCACTTTTGAAGCTCAGGTGCCCTAAAGTGCTGTACTGTCCCTACAAGTTGGGTTTGGCAGAGGCCAAATTTAGGGACAGTACAGCACTTTTGAAGCTCCAGTGCCCCAAAGTGCTGTACTGTCCCTGAAATTTGGCTTTCCCAAGCGAAAAGTGCTGTACTGTCCTTAAAAAACCTAAAAAACCTATCCCCCAGCAACCTGCAGGCGTTCCCAGCCGATAGTCTCTGGAGGATAGGTTTTTTAGGTTTTTTAAGGACAGTGCAGCACTTTTGGCTTGGGAAAGCCAAATTTTAGGGACAGTACAGCACTTTTGAAACCCAGGTGCCCTAAAGTGCTGTACTGTCCCTAAAAGTTGGGTTTGGCAGAGGCCAAATTTAGGGACAGTACAACACTTTTGAAGCTCCAGTGCCCTAAAGTGCTGTACTGTCCCTAATATTTGGCTTTCCCAAGCCAAAAGTGCTGTACTGTCCCTAAAAAACCTAAAAAACCTATCTCCCAGCAACCTTCAAGCGTTCCCAGCCGATAGTCTCTGGAGGATAGGTTTTTTAGGTTTTTTAGGGACAGTACAGCACTTTTGGCTTGGGAAAGCCAAATTTTAGGGACAGTACAGCACTTTTGAAACCCAGGTGCCCTAAAGTGCTGTACTGTCCCTAAAAGTTGGGTTTGGCAGAGGCCAAATTTAGGGACAGTACAGCACTATTGAAGCTCCAGTGCCCTAAAGTGCTGTACTGTCCCTAAAATTTGGGTTTGGAGAAGCAGAATTCAGGTACCATTCTACTCTAAGTTTCTTGCTGGAACCGTGAATGCTGCGGCAAAGATTGTTGGAGGTGGACGATCTAATTACTTTCAGTACGAACATGAGTCCGACGTCTCGGCAAACCATGTGGAGCAGGACTGATGCACGATTGCTTCGGGCCGATGTTTTGTGCGCGAGGAGTCGCTGGGTGCCGATTCACAGCTTACCGCTGGAGCATCGAAATCAAAATGGTGCCTGCGATGGCATTTGCAGAGGCAAGGCAGCTCCCCTAGCTATTGTTCCAAAGGAAGTCAAGCATGGTACCTGTGGCTTTCCACATGTTGCCATAGCGAAACCAGTAGGTGAACTGGGCTGAGCGAATCTTCCTTGTGAGGGCCTGGTTGCCTGGAGTGCGATCTGTGTGCTTCAAAAAGCTACGCAAATGTCCCAAAAAGCGGTCGATTATCTGCGTGCCGCTTTTCACACTCAGAAAGTTGACGTTCGGCAGCTTCACCTTGTACACTTTCGTGTAGTGAGGCTTGATCATATGATAAGCTATTCCAGAGGCTCTAGGGTATTCAATAAGGCATGAGGGTATTCTATATCAGTGCATTCCATATGAAAGGTTTCAAGATACATAGAGAAAGTATTCTACAGGACATCCTATAAGATATTCTATAGTGTCGTGTAGAGAGTGTCCTATAGGGTATGTGTAATATAATGCGTGCGGTGTCATATGTGTTCAAGGTACATATACTGTATACATGGACTGTCATATATAGGGCCATAGGGGCATTCTGTGAGGTCTTCTTTGGAGTATTCCAGACGGTCTTCCATGAGGAGTGCGATATATAGAGGGTACTATGTGTTCCATAAGGTATTCTGTAGGGTATTCTATGTCGTATTCTGTAAGGTACTTTGGATATTCAAAAGATATACGGGCCATGACTGAAAGTATCAGAAGCTCTAGGGTATTCAATAATGCATGAGGGTATTCTATATCAGTGCATTCCATATGAAAGGTTTCAAGATACATAGAGAATATATTCTACAGGACATCCTATAAGATATTCTATATAGTGTCTTGTATAGAGTGTCCTATAGGGTATGTGTAATAGAATGCGTGCGGGGTGTATCATATATAGGTGGTCTTGTATACGGTGTGCGACAGGATATTCAGATGGATTTGTACAAGATACAAAAGTTATGAGAGTGGAATTTTGCAAAGTGTTCTAAAATGTAATCTAAAGGGTACTATGTTGGTGAAATACAAGGTGTTGAGCCCTGAAAGTATCGATAGATTTCGTGTTCACGGACATTATCTATAATCTCGATGCGTCTCATATATATGGGAGGTGTAGAAATAGGGCCGTCTTTTCATATCGATACTTGTCGTGATACTATGTTATATGGGATGATATATTTTTGCTTTCCTGTTGCGTGTTACCTTCAGAGCCCATACTGCTGCATGCAAAAACCTATACACACACAGAACATGCATGCAAGCTTGCGTTCTTTTGCAACACGAGAAGAAGCCGTACGCGAATGTATGTCGCTTGGAAAACTCAAGGTGTATATGAAGGAAACGCAGAATGTAGGATCTGCGAAATCTTTGGTGCAGTCGCAGCGTATTTAGGCCAGTACCTGGGCAGGGCAGGCGTGGATCTTGGGGGGGGGGGTGAGCATATATATATATATATATATATAATCTGTATGGAACATGTCTTCTAAGTTCCGGGGTACCCTGATCAAGGCTCCAGGGTGCTAGGTTTGCTTTTATGTCTCTGGGCTCGCAAACGTGATGAAGCCGTTCGAAGCCCGTTCGTCCCCGGGACTCGTCGACCTCTTCAGCGTTGACAATGCCCTCGAGGGTTCAGGGTTTAGGTGCCCTGACCGAGGAGCATGCACGCCATAAGCAAGGCAACCAGAGATCTCATGATTTCTTCCGCACCTGCCGTGCCTACCCCATATATATATATATATATATATACCGATTATATACCCCCTTAAATATCCTACAATCCTACATCCTACAGCAGTACAACAACTCCCTAAACCCCAAACCTGAACCATATGACTTAACACCATTGGCAACTACTTACAGGATCATGGGACTTAGTAATTACGGTTATTATTAAGGTAACTATACTTATAAGCCCAATTAAGTTACTTATAACCATACTTACTAAGTCCCATGATCCTCCAAGTACCCCAGTGAGGGAGGGTGGCGGGGTTAAAGCTTAAACCCCCGGGGTCGAAGGCTTTACTTCCGATGCCCCGCATGCGAGTTTCAGAAAATTGACGGATCCTTTAAAAGTGGGAGCCTTTGCACAAGGATCCCGACTAAAAGGCGCGCTGATGAAGAACCCTGAGCATGTTTGAGCAAGGTACCCATGATTTTATGATTTTTACGCTTTTCTATAGAGGTCGGAACCCTAAACCTTAAACCCTAAACCGAATATAGAGGTCGGAACAATTAATTAGTACAACCAGTCGCAGGCTTCCTTGCCGCTATAGTATACCCTGAAACCCTATTCAGACCTTTAAGCCGTAGTCGTAGACCTGGACCTCCCCGAGTGTGAAGGAAACTCGACGTCTCAGGGAGGTCTGAGGGTTTTAGGGTTTATGGATGTTGGGCTTCGGGCTTCAGGTATGTGGTTTTGGGGCTTTGGGATGTTAATGTTTTCGGTTCTGGGTCTTTCGGGGTTCTATAGAGTTCCAGTTCGCTACAGGCCGCGTGGGAAGCTGCAGCGGCGTCGTTTCCCAATCATACGTCCTCCCTGCACGCTTGCGGGTCTTAGCAGGGAATGCAAGAGGGTTGAAGTACAGTCCCCTGACATGCTGACCTGCCTCGATGTCCTCCTAATCCCTGAAGCATGCCCTGAAAGACGGACATATATAGAGCCTATAAGCCCGCCCAGAGCCTCGAGTTTAAAGATATCGCATGCGGGACGTCTTCTTGGATATTTGAGACTGTGTTTAGAGATGCTGTGTTCAGGATCTACTTTTACACCGAGAGGCTTCTCCCCGCTTGTAACACAAACTAAATTATGCGGACCCTTCGAACACGGCAGAGATTTGCTCCTGCTGATAAACAAAACGACAAATACTAGAATACTACCATATTAAACTATATACATTGTATATAAGAATACTAAGATTACTACGAGTAGATGCTGCAGTTCTGATCTTCTACCCATCCGAAGCCTCGAACGGTGGACTCTGAAGCCCGTGAAACCTCTTGCAATTGTACTGAAGGTGCCTGATGGCCCTACCAAAAGTTCGAGACTCGAGAAGTTCGTTCGAAAATATATGGACCACTAGTTGCTATGCAGCGATTGTAACTTCCACACGTCCTACCCTGTGCCCGCGGCCCTAATTTGCACAAACCCTCAAGCCCAAAGCCACCGAAACCCTTACACGCCAAACACCAAAACTCTGGAACCCCAAACCTACAGAGCCGTCGTTATAGAACCCCTCAGCCCCAAACTCTGCAGCGCCCAGCACACAGGGCGGCGCTGCCTCAACCACTAGGCCGGCTTGGTGGGGCTTGGTTCTCTAGACTTGGGGGCTCATTCATGGGATCCTTTTAGAAAGGATCCTTCCGTCAAGGGCTTCAGGGTTGAGGGGCTCATTCATGTGGTCCTTATGAAATCGATCCAGCGATGTAAGTTTCTGCGTAAAGCTTAGACGTCACGTGTGTTCTGCGTTTCTGAACTGCCTTTTGCCTTAGGGAGCGAAAGCACCAAGGCCTCAGTACTTAAACGTCAGCGCCTCAACCCAGGGTCTGGCGTTGAGCGCTTTGCACGAGGCTTGCACCCCAAAACTCTTAAAGCTCCAACCTTTCAGACAAACAGGATCATGAAGGCCAACAGCCCCAATGCCGTTGTAGAGTGGAAGTTTCTGAAAGCCAACTCAACCTAACATGCACCGTATTCTGTCACTAGATCCCTGTTGCAAGACGCCAGGCACAGGAACCCCCCGAAATTCTGAGAGCCCTGCAATATCAAGACCCCAAGCTCGAAAAGCCAAGCACCTTTTGCCAAAGGCGACCCCTCCTCGCCCGGCCCTAAATAAAGGGTCTCCCCTGAGGGTCCCGAGACCAAAAGGCACAAACCTGACATTTGCAGGAATAGCGCCGGGCTTCTATGGCCAGCCCACGCCATTCGGAGTGCTGTCGCAGCCTGAGATGAAGGGGACTTCTTCGCAGTGACGGGGGTAAGGGTTGCACATCTCGGATGTAGAGGTTTTTGGGACTGATTTGTGGTTTTGGGAATAGTTCTTGGCGTCTAGGACTCGGAGGTTTTGGGGATTGGGGTCGAAGGTTCAGGTGTTTAAGGGTTTGGCATTCTACTCCTAGCTGAATGAATGTCCTGTTTGCATATTAGGCTAGTGTCATATCTTTACCTTCTTGATACGCTTGTGCGTCGCCAGCTCGTGTCAACTCGCCTGCTGTCCATCTGCTCGATCTAACCGACAGCTGAAGCTAGCCCTCCATATACGTCGCAGCGACTTTTCGTGGCAGATGGGAACTGAGTGTTGCAGCCACCGGCGTCATGAAACCCAACAGCCTTTCATATTCAATCCCGGAAAGCATTGCCCTTGGAGTAGAATTCTTGAGATAAAGGGTTCAAAGCAGCTCCTAATTACATGAAGCTAAACCGTAGGGCCCTTTCACAAACCCTTTGTAACACCAACTTGGCAACCTTTAAACGAATGCCTTAAGAACAGCCTTTGAATATTGTTATATACCATAATTATGATAAGGAACCCGTAGGAATAGTCTAGGCAGTCATGAAGGCCCCTTTTGTGACAGTCCTTAGTTAAATCTCAGATTTCTTGCGCATGACGAAGGTATCCCTGGGGCTTCGGCAGCTACCCGTTGCCGGGAACAGGACCAGGTTCGGAGGAATTTCTTTTGGGATTTTGGATTAGGATTTAGGGTTCGAGGGTTTTTAGAGTTTAGTCAGGGTCGGGTTCCCTGTTGAGGAATATAGTGTTCGGATTTTCAGCCGAGCGGGTTTTTGAATGGAGGACTAAGAGTTGGTGTAGGGCTCTGACATCTGTGAAGGATGGTGGGTTGCAGTTTGGGCAAGGTGTCAGTTTTTGTTGGTGAGGGCTGTGTTGGCAGAACTGAACCGACCGCCCTGATCTGCAGATCCCGCAGCCTGCATCAAAGGTCCTTGACTCCTAAACGCTGCACCTTGCGATGCAATCCGAACTTCCCGAATGGACCCTAAACCCCGGATCTCGACGTAAAAAGTCAGCCTCAACATGGGCGTGAATATTCCCGTCAATTGACTCTTGTTAGCATCCTCATGGCCCAGTTAAGAAAGCCACCCAAGGCATGTTCGACATTCGAATCATTTCCTTCTAATCTGAATCCCTGCCACAAGCACGGCAACCTGTAAAAACTCGCACACACAGACACTCATGATATGCATGTGTGTATGTGTACCATAGGTATGTTACGTATATGTACATGCCACGCCATGCCATTGCAAAGCTGCGTTTCTTCCCAAAGTACCATTGCAAAGCGTAAAAGATAGGTAGACGGCTCCTGCGTTTCTTCCCAAAGGCCCCTGCCTGGTCGCCCCTCCGACCATGGCTGAGTCGGCGGGAGACTCGCGACAGTTTCGGATTCCCGGGGGGCTTGCTAGGATCGTACTGTACTGTTTGGGGTACTATATTAGGGTCCTCCATTTTCGGAAACTCCCATATGGTGGAGCTTTCCACTGTTTTATCGTTGCCGAGTCTCTTTTCGAGGAGTTATGGACATGATTGCTGCAAATAGGAGACTCGGTAGCTTCGAGCACTTTGAATCCATGTTATGCTCGTCACGTCCTGATCCCTACCCCGAACCCCCAACCCACCCCAAACTCCCTGGTGCTTAGTAGGGAATGGGGGAATAGATCCCTACAGTAGTCCCTGTATCATCCCCAACAACAGTCCCCATAATCCATCCCTATTCCCTACTGAGGGCCAGGGAGTAAATCCTGAGCCCAGAACTGTGATCTTCTCCTCCCCAAACAGAAGACGTCCTCCACTTTTTGAGGCCACCCTGTCGCCAACAGGCGGATGTTTGCTGTGAGTTTGGGGTTCAAGGGGTTCGTTCCGGTTGCTTGGTGGTCCTCGCGTGGTTCAGGGCCGTCATGTTGCTCTCTGTTTGGCTGGGAGGGAGGGGGCAGGGCTTGCGGTTCGGGAGTTTAGGGCTTTTGCTTAGCCCGTGAAGGTTCGGTTCAAGAAGCCCTTCCAACCCTGAACCCCGGAACCGAAGAGCGAAGCCCCAACGACTAAATTGAATCCTACATCTCGCTGAATTTCCAGCCTCTTAATGAGTGTTTGCGGATTTGGGCTTCCCGTACGAGACTTGCCTTTTGCAGTCCTCGGGGGACTCTTGACTACTTGAAGGCTCTTGGGACTTAGTGAGTAAGGTTATAAGTAGGTTATAATTAGGATAGCCCCACTTAGGGGACTTATAACCCCAATTATGACCTACTTACTAAGTCCCATGATCCTCTAAGTAGGGACCCCAGGCTCTGCCCTGAGTCTGTCGACTGGGCGACCATCCCGGTGAGAGCTTTTGGACCACTACTTGCCGATACCCAGAGGCCCCAAAGTGGTTCCTTTTTGGGAATACCCTATAGGATTCTATATATAAACCCCAAAAAGGAACTACTTTGGGGCCTTAGGGTAGGTTGACCAACGAGTCTTCATCCCTTCCCCCCAAAGACCCCACAGCCTACAACCTTTTCTGCGTCCGTAGGGTTTCCAGGGAGAACGCATGCCTTAGCCTATAGATTACAGAGCAAGCAGATCTACTGGGTCCCCATGCCCTTTCTTCTCCGCGCCAGTTTTGAGGATAGTGACCGTGACCCCGACTGAGTTGCAAGCGGTAGGTCCCAACCCATATAAACCGCCCCTATGAGACTTTATAAGCCATTGCACCAGTCGACTGCCCTTCTAAAACCCTTAAGAAACTAAAAAGCACAAGCCTAAGCCATTGAACCAGTCCAACTCCCTTCTAGAACCCCATTAAAATTGAAAAACAAGTTTATACAGCCTATGAGAGGGCCAGGGAGCGCGCAAAGCATGCCAGGCGCGAGCCCGGCCCGTCCAGCTCCGGAGGAGCAGCAGGACGAGGAGGACGAGGAGGCTCTGGTCCTTTTCGGATACCAGGGACTCCCAAACCCTTGGGGGATTTGGTTTTTACGGGATGAGGGTCCCTCGACAGTTCAGGTTTTTTTCTTAAATAGGGCAGGTCTTCGGGAGTCTTGAAAGAGAGGTATCTAAAGATTGGAAGCACGAAACGCGGGTGCCGGGCCTGACTTCGAGACCTCGAGTCCCAGGTGAACCACACATGCACCCACCATCACCTCTCCGATTTCGGGGTATGATGCAGTTACAGGAAATACAGGAATATGACAGGTGATCAGAGGTGCCCATGAGGTCGCATTGTTGATTCTTCAGACCCCTCTGTTACCGGAACCTTTCTCCTGAACCCTACAAACCCGAAGCTCAAGCCCCAACACCCAATACCCCAAGACCCACATATATATGTTCATCTGGAAGACTGCAGGCACCAGCGCCGCCAGCGGCCAACATACTGGATCCCGAGCTGATACTGGCGGGGTTCCTTTAGGGGTTTCTTCAAGTCTTCCTTTCACGGTTTCCTTGAAGGGTTCCTTGCCCTTTTACATAAAAGCTCTTTTCTGTAGGGGTGCATGACACCCAGGAGTTGCCAGTGCCATTCCTCGACTTTAAGCTTAAGCCCAGAACTGTGTGACCTTGAACCGAGGCGAGAGGGCTGTGGTAGGGTTCAGGCGGGCTTTGCTCGGGACCTGGGACTTCTTTGCAGGATTTCTGGAGCTGAGGTCTTTAGCACGCTTTCCTGCAAGTTTTGTCCAGCTTTGGCGATGTTTGCATGAGAGCTTCCTACTGCAAGGGACACGTCCCACCATGTATGAGATCGACCCGAAAGCTTCACTCTGCTTCATGTGTCCTCCATCCTTCAATCTTCCGAGTCAGAGTTGTCTAACTGTTTTGCTCCTTGATTGGCCAAGGAAACAACGCTTCCTGTGGGCCCAAGTGACCTGGACTTTCAGGAGCGGTTTCGTTGTGCTTTGCGTGGTGGTGGGACGGATGTGAGAGCGCTCTAATCATGTGCTGGAGATGCCCTGGCATTCAGCCACAAAAAAGATGCAGGAGCATTGGCGATGATGGGTGAGTATCACGGGCACGTAGGCTTTGCGGCTTGGGTCTCGGTGGCATATCTCTCCAGCCTAAGCCTAAGCTGCAACTTTTGGAGCCTTCGCCTTAGCCCAGAGCAAGTCCAAGCCCTCAAGTGGCGTGAGAGGAGTCGCTGGTCTCTGCTTTTGCGGCCGTAGTGGATGCGACCTGGACTGTGCAATGCGACGAAAGGTAGAGAAAGGTTCAAGTCGACTTGAGTTGTTCGGAGGTGTTGGGTCAAGTGCTAGTGATCGGCAGCCTTCGAGGTGTGCAGGGCATGGTCTTCAAGAGGCACGGGCTCCGTCCCAAGGTATCTCCTAAGTGTGATCCTAAGAACTCTGGCATTCCGCTGGCACCTGCTTGCCCAGCTACAGTAGTCGGCAAGGCCACTTTCAAGAAGATGTTAGCCTTATCCCTGCGGGTGAATGCGCGTGCTGACCATCAGTGCCGAAATGTTGCGTACGATAGGCCAGTGTAAGAGATGAACCCAACTCTGAGAGCCCAGATGAACCCAACTCTGAGAGCCCAGGAAATGCTCCAGTTCAAGTACGGCTGCGGCATAGTGCCTTGGCACACGAGCAACAGCCTCACGCCCTAAGCCCTTGGCCGTTGCTCGGGTCTGTGATTTCTTGGGGCCGATACACGCTGTCTCGTTTGTCCGAGCAAGAACAGGCACTAGGATATCATGCCCCTTCAGCAAGCGAGTTTTAACCCATCTGCACAATGCCGTACAAGACTTCGATTCCTGATGCCGGTGCTGTCCTGAATTCACAGATTTGGATCCCCTACTCCTAAGCCCTCAACATCCCTGAACTCGAAAATTTCGACCCCTGACCTAAACCCACAGCTACAGGACACGGCGGACTACCGGGGCAACTAGGTTGGATTTTGGGACATTTTTTATTTTCCTTATTTGGATTTATAAGGGACCCCCCCCCCAAAAAAAAAAAAAAAAAAAAAATATATATATATATATATATGGTCACCCCCCCCCCCATGACAGACCATGCCCTTTCGACTCAGTCGTAGTGCATGGTCTGTGATCGGGGGGAGGGGGCACTCAGCTTTCAAAGCCTCAATTCCAAAATTTCCAAAATTCTCTCCCCTAACTTTCCGGATTTCCAAAATTTCCAAAATTTCCAAAATTTCCAAAATTTCAGAAATTTCCAAAATTTCCAAAATTTCCAAAATTTCCAAAAAGTCCGCCCTTATGTTTTGGAAAAATCCTGTCGACTAGGTCGGGAAATTTTGGAAATTTTTGAAATTTTGGAAATTTTGGAAATTTCGGAAATTTTGGAAATTTTGGAAATTTTGGAAATTTTGGAAATTTTGGAAATTTTTGGAAATTTCGGAAATTTTGGAAATTTTGGAAATTTCGGAAATTTTGGAAATTTTGGAAATTTTGGAAATTTTGGAAATGCGGAAAGTTAGGGGAGAGAATTTTGGAAATTTTGGAAATGCTGGAATCTGTTCTATATATGACTCAAGTAAGATTACTGTGTAGTGCTTACTATGTAGTGTATCAGCACAACCCTCATCCATACACGTGTGCTCTGTAATTCCTTTCTTGGTAGGACACCCGCGCGCCTTGTCGTGCTAGTCTCCGCATCGGACCAGATTACTTGCAAAGGCAAGGGCTGTCAATACTCATGCCCATATTTACACGAATATCTCTCTATCTATCTGTATATCTATATATACATATATGTATTGATACTCCTACATATAGTATTGCCATTGAACATACTGACATTGATCATTTGTTGAATGCTCAAGCTAATACCAGCATTACTACTAATATTACACTTCTATAAAGCTTAGTACGAATATGCATAACACAAATACTAAGATTGATTAGTATTGCTCTTAGTACTCCTACGCATATCAATAACCATATTCATATTGATAATAATGTATAATAATACCAATACTAACACACACCTGTATGTACTAATGTACATAAACATGCATACCACCATATTAAAATACAAATCCTTTAACTCACTCATGAATTCAACTGTTAGAATTTCACGTGGTCAAGAGTAATAACAATACAAACATTCTTTCGAATGTATATCATCAATAATATGATAGTACTAACGCTAACACTACTGCTAATACTTAACACAAAATCTATACTAACATCAATATTTACATAGCTATTTATACTCCTACGAATACGAATACGTAAACCCTTGTGCGTTAACAGTAGTGCTATCACCAACACTAATACGGACTTTGATAATCTGCTGCATATTCAAGAATGCCACTAGTATTACCAGCATGAACACTCATATTATGGCTATTACGAGTATAAATAGTCCTACTTCTACTAGTATTGACATTAATACTCCTACGAATACCAATAGTATATTCATATTGATATGAAAACTAATACCATTACTAATAGACACCTGCATATACTCATGTACATAAAATACGTACCACTATCTTAAGATACAGATATATACATCAGTGCATTCATGTATTAATGCTTTGGCATAGGCATATACCCATATACCAATGTATCAATATACTTCTCGTTGTTGTATGAATATACTATACGAATATGTGACTATAATCATATACGGCTACTGCACTATGCAAGAATACCGACATGACAAGTTCGTATACTAATATGCCAACATACTGATATACTTATACATGATTAGATAAAACAGTAATATAGTACACATATTCGTACACTAATATGCTAACGTACGAATATACTGGTATGTCAATATACTAGTAAGCTAATACAGCAGTATAGTAGTGTAGTCATGCACCAGTTGTACTAACATGTAAAATATACTAGTATACAAGTATGCAAATATTTTGCTGTCCGAATACATTGATGTATTGATATACTAATCTGCTAATATACGAGACTATCAATATACTAACATATCAAAACTAACTAGTTCTAATATTGATACTAATACTAGCACTTCTGCGAATATAAGCTGCTGTTAAACCCAGCATTAAGACTGATACTGATACTACTCGTAGCAGTGGTGCTGTATTACTGACATTGACACTGGCACTAGCGCTAACTCTAACACGAACATGAGCACTAACACTAATTTATAGTTGGCAATATTGATACGTATACTTACAGCAAGCAATAGTACTAATATTAATAACAATACTCACCCTAATACCGATACTACCACAAGACTATTACGTAACTCATGTGCCGCACGTCTGGTGCTATACTATATACCTCATGTAACGGTTTTGCTTCACAGAATATCGTTGTGCACGGTGTTTTTTAGACCCGTGGTCTGTCACCGGGGGGGGGCATATATATATATATATATATATATATATATATATATATGGACACACCCCCCCCCATGACCTACTACCCATTGCTAGCCGAAGCACCTCGCGGTAGGTCTTGGGGGGGGGTGTGAGCATATATATATATATATATATGTATATATATATATATATATTTTTTTTTTTCAGGGTGTTTAAAGGCCAACCCAGGCAAGCTGAGAGCTCTTTGCGATGCGAGTGCGCTGTGTTCCATGGCGCGGCTGCTGGACGCTGCCAACTCGCAGAAAGAGTTCGTAGCCCTGGACTCCAGCAACTGCCAGGTGAGCCCGTTTCGGGGGTTTTGGGTTTTAGGTTTAGGGTTTTGGGTTTTGGGTTTAGTGTTTAGGGTTTAGGGTTTCGGGTTTTTCGGGGCTTTCTGGTTTAGTGGTTTAGGGTTGGGTTTTGCACTTTGCTTCCTTTCCAGGGCTCGCTTTTGAAGTCATAGGACCTCATAGGATGTGAGGCTTGGGGTTCGGAGGTTTAGGGACTCACGCTTACCGGGCTGAGGGCTCGGGATGGCATGGATCCCTAGCGAGGCTTGTCCCCTAAACGGTGAATGCGTAAAGAAGAACCACGGCTTAAAGGAGGATCGTAGTTGATACAGTAGCCCCCCTTTCAGTAAACTGACCTCTAATCCTAAAACGGCTACTCCCAAAGCTCGAAACCCCAGCAAGCGAGGTGCAGCTGCGGCTGACGTACCAGGAGCTCTCTTCCTTCGGCGGCCTCTGCGAGAGGCTTCGAATCCTTCCGGGCACCGCCAGCGCCGTGGTGGTCATCTCCACGCGGGGCGGCTGCTTGGGTGCTGTACGGTTTAGGGTTTAGGGTTTAGGGTTTAGGGATCTGGGGTGAAGTTCGAAGTTTAGGAGCGACGAAGGGGATAACGAAGTGAGTCTCTTCTGCTGTAGTCTTAGATGGGCTATAAGGGGATATTGTTGCAAATGATTCAGACACTTATATTGCACGTGGTCACGGGTATGCTGTGAACTGGTATCGTGCCGAGAGAGTCGTACACCTCCACAGCCAAGTGATGAAGTTATGAACACTGTGTTAGGGCCGCACCAGAGACATTCGAACACCGTGTGGGTTTGAAGTTTCTGCGAGCGACAAGCTTTAATACGGTCCCTGTTGGACCCCAATACCCTAAACCCTAAACCCTAAAGCCCTAAACCCCTAAACCCCTAAACCCTAAACCCTAAACCATCATTGAGTGGGACGTTATCGACACCCTCGGCTCGCCAAAGAAACCAGGCTACGCCGTGCAGGCCTTGGCCGCCTTTCGGCCCTCCTGTGACTTTCGCCACGCTGTGGGCCGATGCGGCTTGGGCACGAATGCCCGTGCTTTAGAGCACTTCGCCGAGGAGGAGAGTCGACGACTGGGGCTACTATCTTCGGGGTTATTGACTTATTGAAGTAGTTATGGTATGTATAGTATACCCCAAAACCTTATTCTGCTTTTCTTTGCTCGCCCGGACGTTCAGTCTGCTGCACCCCAAAACCTTATTCTAATTATTCAGGGGCCTAGTCCGGGTTTGGGGTTTTGGGCTTGGGGTTTGTGTTCTGGTGTGGTGGTGTAAGGTGTTGCGCGTAGCCGCCTTCACCCCAGCCCTCTTGGGACAGGTTTCCCAGACCCTATAGCCTAATTTACGCAGCCTACGAGTTTTTGTACCAGGGCCCGGGTAGAAGCCGAAACACATAACATCATCTAGATTCTAGATTCATAGGATCCCGCCGACAAGTAGGCTCTTGCCGGTTAAGGTGAAGCCTGAGCCCTAAACACCAAACCACATTGGAGCTTTGGTTTCGTACGCTGAACCATACGGGCCGGCATCGGTGGGAGGATACAGGGCGTACCTTTAACAAAAATCGGTATTCCCCCAAACTTCCCCATCCTAAACCCCCAAACCCTAAGTGCGAAACCCTATAAACCTGAACCCTCCTCCCGAGCTTTGGGAGGAGTTCTGTAGTGCTGTGGCTCTGGAGCCCACGATCCTGTCTCTGCAGGCAGCTTGGAGGTACATGGGTAGTTAGAAGTGGGGTTATAAGTCCCCTATTATGGGTTGTAAGTATATTTACCCTACTTGTAAATCCAGTTATAACTACCCATGAACCTCCAAGAGGGAATCGATTGTCATTGTGGCTCAGAGCTGCGTTTTAGACTTGGACTGTGGTTTTTGGAGGGTTTTTCATACTCAAATTACTCAGGCTTCTATATTACAGTCTTGCCAAAGTAGCGTTGGTTGGTAGGCTACGGTATATGATAACCAGGACCGGATGATGCAGGATAGATGCAGGATGTTGCAGGATAGATGCGGGCCCACAGCTTTCTACCAGGTTTGGACGGGAACACGGTGCGCTTGCGACAGAAATCTTGTCCAAGCAAGAACCCCAGGTTTGCCAACTTCCAAACACGAACCCGAACCCACGACCTCAAAGCCTAGGCCGTGACCCCTATTATAGAACCCTAGTATGGAACCCTTAAAGGAACCCTAAACCGTGTTCTGTTCCAGGCACCACTGGGCGGCCCCCTGCGGGAGCCTCCGGCACTCACGGAGGTTCGAACAGCCTGCAGCGGGAGATTTAGTGTTCAAGGTTTAGTTGCTTCGGGCTTGGAGTTTAGGATTTTAACATCCATTAGGGTGTGGGTTAGGCTTTAGGTTTGAAGTACTTGAGGCTTCGGGTTTGAGGTCTGAGGGTTCAACCTTCTGTTGTTTAGGGGTCGAGGGTTTTCGGTTCTGTCAAAGGGCTCGATGGTTTCGGCTTGAGGGTTCGCAAGAAGCCTTCTGAGGTTTGGGCGGGGCGAGGCATGGCTCCAAACCCGAAATCTCAATCTCTGGGTAGCTAGCTTTGCAGCTTTAGGGTTTATTGGGGTTCGCAGTCGCAAGCCGGCCATAACCAAACTTGAACGGTTAGCTTTTTCGGTCCAGGAGACACAGCAACTTGATGGATAAACAGTCAAACAAACCCTCACCCGCCAAACCCTCCATCCCCAAACCCCCAGGCCCTAAACCCTAAACCCCTAACCCCCAACCCTAAACCCTAAACCCTCCATTTCAGAGCCCCAACCCCGAAACCCAGAGCCCTAAAATCCAAAATCGTAGAACCGACCCCCCCCTCCAGTTGAAGACCTAACCCCCTCCAATAGATCCCTTATAGAAGCCTTGTAGAACCCTTATAGATCCCCTATAGAACCCTTGTAGAACCCTCAAAGAGCCCTAATAGATCCCTTATAGAGATGACGTATAGGACCCTTCTAGAAACCTCACAAATCCCTTGAAGAACCCTTATAGACCCCTTGTAGGGATTACTTGTAGAAACCTCATAGAACCCTTATAGATCCCCTTAAGCAACCCTTATAGATCCTTTATAGAGATTACTTGTAGCAACCTCATAGAACCCTTATAGATCCCCTTAAAGAACCCTTCTAGAGATCCCTTACCACTAAAGATCCCCTTACAGAACCCTTCTAGAGATCCCTTACCCTTTTAGATCCCCCCAAAGAACCCTTCTAGAGATCCCTTACCCTTATAGATCCCCTTAAAGAACCCTTGTAGAACCCTTATAGATCCCCTAAAGAACCCTTAAAGAACCCTTATAGATCCCCTTAAAGAACCCTTCTAGAGATCCCTTACCATTAAAGATCCCCTTAAAGAACCCTTCTAGAGATCCCTTGCCCTTATAGATCCCCCCAAAGAACCCTTCTAGAGATCCCTTACCACTAAAGATCCCCTTACAGAACCCTTCTAGAGATCCCTTACCCTTTTAGATCCCCCGAAAGAACCCTTCTAGAGATCCCTTACACTTATAGATCCCCTTAAAGAACCCTTGTAGAACCCTTATAGATCCCCTAAAGAACCCTTAAAGAACCCTTATAGATCCCCTTAAAGAACCCTTCTAGAGATCCCTTACCATTAAAGATCCCCTTAAAGAACCCTTCTAGAGATCCCTTGCCCTTATAGATCCCCCCAAAGAACCCTTCTAGAGATCCCTTACCACTAAAGATCCCCTTAAAGAACCCTTATAGAACCCTTATAGATCCCCTAAGGAACCCTTAAAGAACCCTTCTAGAGATCCCTTACCAGTAAAGATCCCCTTAAAGAACCCTTCGAGAGATCCCTTACCATTAAAGACCCCCTTAAAGAACCCTTCTAGAGATCCCTTACCATTATAGATCCCCTTAAAGAACCCTATAGAACACTTAAAGAAGCCTTATAGAGATTACTTGTAGAAATCTTATAGAACCCTTATAGATCCCCTGTAAAAGAACCCTTTTAGAACCTCAATGCCTTTGGAGGAGTTCCGGAGCCTCCGGCAGCTCCTCCTGGGCCGCCCGGGCGCCGGCGCCTCGCAGCGCCTGGGTTCTTTTTAAGGAACTTCTTAGGGGTACTTAGAAATATTTTGAAAATTTTTGGTGATTATAATCCCTAAGAAACAGCTAAAATTGTAATTGTTGCTAGGGTTCTAAGTTCAGTATAGATTAATCTATACTGAACTTAGAACCTGTTTGAAGTTACCATAATAGGGGTTCTACAAGGGTTTGAGGTTTAAGGAATTCAATTCAAGCTACCATAGTAAAGGATCTATTTCTTGTATGTGTATGAACTTAACTAGGCATCTATAGTAAAGTTACCACAATGAAGGATCTATGTTTTTGGTATTTGTGTAAACTTAACTGGGCACCTGTAGAAATAGTCTGGTTTCCTTATTATGGCAACTGAAGTTAATCCCTCAACAAGAACTCGTAAAGGAGCCCTTACAGATCCTCTAAAGGAGCCCCTATTGCGGTAGCTTAAACTAAATCCCTTAAGAACCCTTGAAGGAGCCCTTATAGACCCTCAAAGGAGCCCTTATTACGGTAGCTTAGGCTAAACCCTAAACCCTAAACCCCTAAACCCTAAATCCCTTGTAACAAGAGCCCAGGCGCAGCTCCGGCGCCTTGGCCCCGCAGCTCCTTGCGGCTCTCCACGCACGAGCGCCCAGTGCAGCCCGGCTTGCACACCGCCCCAAGGGTTGAAAAAGGGGCATGTAGGATAGTAGGGTTCCTTTAACGGGTTGCTTAAAGGGTGTCTATAAGGGATCTATAGCAAGGTTCTATGGTATAGGGGCTTAAATAATTTCCAATCCCATTTTGCGGGCTTCCCTTTTTTATATTTATGTATAGTATACTGGGCCCAAAAACCCTATTCTAATCATTAAGGCCCCTATGTTAAGGGTTTAAGGGCGCAGCTCCCGAAAGGCCCTGAAACACTGAACCTCGAAATATCCGTCCGACCGTAGATATATAGAACACTGGGAAATGCCTACTGATAGGCTGAGTGAGTTTAAGAGTCCAAAATTTCCGAAAGCCACCCAAAAGCCGGAAAGCAGACTGAAAATCAGGAACCAAGAAACCAGGAACATGTAGGCTTTTCGGTAGGATATACTTGCTTTATTGGCTTACTTACAGAGACCTGTTATGGCATGGGATATCCCAACCTGACATACTTGGTTGTGCGTTTTTTTGGGGGCTCATTCGCGAATAGCTAATGTTGCTTGAGGCGCTGGCATTCCGGCATGTCGCCTCGGCCCTAGCAGGCAGTGTGCCGGCATTGCATCAGGGTAGGTAGTAAAAGGTTATTTTTATGACCTTACTGCTGATGGACAAAATCCTGCATGACCTTAAGGACTCTAAACTATGGGAACTATGGTATATTCCTTATAAAGGGTAATGCAGGATTGTGTCCATCAACAGTATGGTACTCTTTATTAATGAAAAGATTCGAATATGCCGCCGCCAAATGTCGCAAACTATAGGATCCTGTGCACGGGGCCAGGTAGGGGCTTCAGGATCCAGGTTTTTGTGAGGATGTGGTCTGTGCTTGCGAAGGCTTCGTATTGCATGTACCTACTTAAGCAAAGAAATACAGGCGCGCACACACATGCACATACACACATAGACATGCAGACATAGACATAGATATGCACAACCACTTCCATATATCAGGATCAGTATCAGTCTTTGTAGTAGCATTGACAATAGTATTCATATTGTCACTATGGTTGCTGTTATTGTTGCTACTGCTTTCTTTGGAGTCCCTTGGATGTTCAGCGTTTGCAGGCAACGACGTTCAACCGGATGTGGTCGACGAGCTTTTCCGGAGGCTCTCGCTGGGACTGGGCCTAGGGTTTAGGTTTCAGGATTTAGGTTTAGGCTATCTTCAAGAATCAGAACCCCTTACCGACCCCAAACCCTAAACCTTAAACCCCCGTAGCCATTTTGGCTCAAGCCCTGCACTCCAAGCACACGGTATCGTATTCCGCGGCCTCCCTGGCAATCTCAGTCCTTCTGACCGCAAGATGCTGGCTTCTATCAATGCAGCCATTGCTACCGCAGCGCCTATCGTGAATGGCTTCAACGGGTCTGCTGGACTGGTCAGCTTGGCTGAAAATATCAGCCATATAGACGTGACGTCAAAGCTCGTGATCAACAACAACGAGGTCTGCCTTGGCCAAAGCTTGGCGCTCCAAGCCATCGAGCTGATTGGATTAGCTCCAGGGGCCCCTGCAGTGGGAGCCGTCACTCAAGCCCATTTCGACACATTCCGCACGAAATGGGCGGATACCCTGGGCGTATTTCAGCTGTACACTGTGGCTGCTGCTGGGGGGGTTTGGACGCCTGCGTACAGAAACGCAGATGTTCTGTCCTTGGCAGCTTACACCGCGCGGGCTGGGAACAACGCAGCGGTGTTCGAAGGCTTTGCAGCAGGGCTAATTGCCCACTTCCAGGCAGATCAAGCAGCTGCGGCGGAGTTTTCTGGGCACGCACACTTCATTGCGCTTAACGTGGTTAGAGCCAGCCATCATCGGATGTTCAGTGATGGCCACAACGGCTACACGCAAGAGACCCAGAACCCGGCCAAACGGTCGCACAGCATTTGCGCTCTGGCTGGGGCTTCCAAAGATGCTTTCGTCCAGTGGTTGTCAGTGAACAATCGGTGCCACGACATGCACCACCACCTGACACATCAAAGCCTGTCTGAGTTGGCTGATGGCGTGATCTTCAATGCGGGTGCCCCGGGTGCCATCAATGTGCCTATTGGCACTGTCGTTAATGGCGCTGCAATCGCAGTCGCTACTACTGTCGCAGACATTTGCCAGCCGGGTGAAGCGGCAGTGGATCGACATCCTTTTGGTATGTTGGGGATCTCCGCGCTCATCTTGGGGCTCGAAGCGGTCGGAGCAGCTGCTCATGCCATCTCGATGAAGTATCAAGGAGGACCTGGTGTGGCCCCAGTTGTGAACACCCTTCTGACAGTGGTCAAATCGGATCAGTATCAGCAGAATGTGACAAGGGATCAAATGAAGCTGTTGATTCAGTCCCTCAACCCGATGGCATCTTTTGCTGTTGGAATCTTGAAGGCAGCCGCGGCAACACGCGACTGGGTGGAGTCGCATCCAGCACTGGAATCATACAGCAAGCGCTGCGAGACGGAGCTCCTACAGGGCATGCAGGTGGGCCGCGGGCTTGCGAATGTTGCAGACAACGCGGCCTCTGTGCTAGGAATGGTCAATAATGCTGGAGCATCATTTGCTGCTGCATTGGATGGCATGCTCGCTGATGCCAATGTCACTGCAGCTGCTGCAGCATTGGGAGGAGGCATCCCTCTGGTCAATGTGGTGGCAGCAGCTTGGGTCTAAGCTGAGAGTGTCATGCTGGGGTGATGGCTTCACTACTACCTGGACTCGGAGCATCGCCTGGAGCTGGTATGTCACATGGTGTCCTACGACCTGGGGCGACCGTATCTGGGACGAGTGTATCCTTGACAATTGGTGCATCTGTGGCGATGGGGAGCCAGCCGCCTGCCGAACCACTTCACATTCCGAGTGCCCCCACGACGCACTATGGGATGACTACCCCCATGGATGCAAACGGGATGCCAATGACCCCGCAGATTCCCCGTCGATGAGGCGATAGAAGATATCCTCAATTCAGCTCCCTTGACGACCTCGACTTCTACGACCTCAACCTCACTATATCGGTTGGACGACTGGTGGAACGCAATGGAGGACTCACCTACTACCACCAGCACGACTGACACTCATGAGGGTGAAGACAATGTGGATGAGGAATGGTGGGCTGATGATCCTGACCTCCCTTGGTCTGAAGAATGGGTGGAACTCCCGGATGAAGGCACAGGAGTGGAGGAAGTGGACTATGAGGCCGATGCTGCCGACTGGGAGGCCCCTGAGCCGGAACCTGATGTCGACCCTGATACTGCTGAAGGACCGCCTGGAGGTGGTGTGGGTGATATTTGGGATGAACCGCCTCAACCTGGTCTATCACCGCAGCAACAGGTATTCGCCCAGCAAGTTGCCAGCCTAGTGGTTGCAGAAGTCTGGGCTCTGTTGCGTTCTGCTGGGGTGGTGGGCTCCCGTCTTCCTCCGTGGCGACAGACTGGACCGTATGCGAGGACTATCCGCATGGAGGCACATCGAAGCTGGCCAGGCAGCCATTGGGCGTACAGTCTCTCCACACCAAAGACGCCTCAACATGTTGCGGCTGGACACCTTGGGGAGGAGGAACTTGTCGTTCGGGCGCACAGAACTCCCGTCTGATGAAGATGCGGAAACTCCGTTTCCTGATGTGGTGGCTACACAGGAAGGCGTTGAGGAAGAGGAAGCTCCCACGATTGATGAAGAAGTTCCTCTCCCTGGTCTGGAAGGTCGTGAAGAAAGTCCACAGGTGGAGCAGAACAGCACAGAAGATCGTGAAGAAAGTCCACAAGTGGAGCAGAACAACACTGATGGTTCTACAGCGGGGGTGACTGGACCTGTGTACGAGGCAACCTTGGGGGGTACAGCAGAGCCTGTCTCCACAGAAAGGGCTTCTGATGAGTCTGGGGCTGCTATGGAACCACGGGGTTAGGGTCGTCGTGACAACCGGAAAGCAGATCGAGGAGCTCGCTCGTAAGTACTGCCTTCTCGGCTGTTTCACTCTGTGGGCTCACCATGAGCCGGCGCGTTCTGGAGAAAGGGTGTGCCATCATAGGTTAAAAAAAACCCTAAACCTGAAACCCTAAACCTAAACCTTAAACCCTAAACCCTAAACCGTACCGACCCCTAAAAAGAAGCACTGCGACTTCGAAGGCTCGTGGACTGGTTTCGAAGCAGCTCTCCGTCCGACCCCTGGGTTTTTTTCGTGCAACGGAGCGTTAGGGATTAAGGCTTAAGAAAGGGGCCAAATTACTTACCTATACTATTTTGGTGGTTCCTAATTGTAATTATAGTATATTGGGCCCCATAACCCTTGTGGGTTTGGCGTTTACAGGGTGGAGGGGGCTTGTAGGGTTTTTCGGGTGTGGGGCCTTAAGGATTAATGCTTATGGGTTTAGGGCTTATGGGGTTGAGGGGGCTTGTAGGGTTTTCGGGTGTGGGGCTTAGAGGGTTTGTAGATGTTTTGAGGGTTTAGGCTTGTAGAGCGCTTATCGGGTTTATAGTATACCGGGGCTTACGGGCTTTTCAGGGTTTTTGGGTGATTTTCGAGGGTTTGCAGAGAGGGCTTGTAGGTCTGAGAGGGTTTATGGGGCTTGTAGGCTTTAGGTCTCATACACGATGGTCATGGTAATAGCCTTTTTGATGGTTGCTATGTTAAGCATCGTAGTAAGCAGCCACCAGCATAGCAGTAGAGTTGCTAAGAAAGGCTCTGTGCCGTGACCTACCGACGGGAAGGCGAGGATCATACTGTGGAGTCGGCTCGCTGCCGTGATTTGAATCCCAACCCTTCCCGCACCTGGCCGTAGCGCGTGAAGATGCTCAGACGGCTTCGGATGCTACATAGGGCTACTATAGTGTTTAGAAGATTGACAACCTGAAACCTGCAAAAGCAAGCACATCCCAAATCCATGAAAACGGTGGCACTCCTAGACTACACCTGCAAGCTCCTAAAGGTCAGCATGTGCCAAGCCAATTCCAGCACCTTTTGAACATCTAAACCACTGAACCCGACACCTCAAGGCCGCTAACCCTAAACGATACACTTTATGTACCAGGAGGAAGCCATAAGCCCGTGAATCCCGAACGTCATGAGTTCCACGACAAAGCCGGTTCCCAGCATTCAATGCGAGGAGCCTGGGTTTAAACCTTAGGACCGAGGCCTTAGGATTTCCAGTCGAATTGGGGTTGTAGGAACCTGATTAAGAAACCTTGGGCCTTTATGGGGTTCCTTATATATATGGACCCTACTATTTTGGGGGTTATAGGGCCAGGGTTTCTTAATCAGGTTCCTACATTCGGCAGTTTAGCACTGAGGTCTGTGGTAGCCGCTGCGCAAGGTGCACTGGCTGAGGTGCACTTCGCCCCGCAAGTTCACTGCCCTATGATCTTTAGAAATTGTCGGGTTGCAAAAATTCAGCATTTGAGTTGAAAGCCTGAACCCTTTAAGGTCGTTTGTTTGAAGCACCCTGACTCTACAGCCAATATTTGAGAACGTGTTTTTTGCGAGAGGGAGTGGTCAAGTGAAAACGAACAGGACATGAAGAAAGGGAGACCTCGTCGACCCGAAGGGCATCCTGTGCGCCCGCCCTTTAAACTGCCAAAATCCTAAGCCCCCCCAAAGGGCTTTTTAATAGAGTCCTTATGGGACTTAATTGTGGGTACGGGTATTTGGGTATATTAGAGGGTAGTTGGGGGGTCTATGTGAACTCCAAATCTTGCAGCACAATCCTACAGCACCCAGTGGCTTGAACTTTGCGGCACCCCGAAACCCCAAGGCTGTGCCCCTCAGATCCTCGCACGGCAGAAGCCCAATGTGCAGAGGCTCCTAGAGCTCACAAAGGGGGTTCCTTTTGCCATAAGCTCTTCACCCCTTACTGTAATATATAGAGGCCTAAATAGTTAGCAACACTATTGTGGGGGTTGGTTCCTTATTCTAGTTGTAGTACCATGGGCTCCAACACCCTATTCTAATTATTAAGGCCCCTATATCAATCGAGCTTTGGAGTTCTTGATAGTTGCTTGGTTACGTTGACCCAAACCCTAAACCCTATAAACCCTAAACCCTAAGCCTTAAACCCTAAACCCTAAATCCTAAACCCTAAATCCTAAACCCTAAGCCCTAAACCCTAAACCGACAGGCTCCAGCGCACGTGGCCCTGGTGGCTCGCCTACGGAAAGCTCCGGAGAGGCCCTCCCTGAGTTTGCCATTGTTTTGTCTTAGTGTGTGGTAACCCATAGGCCCCATAGTACTTCCTTTTTGGGATTGCCTTATATGATTCTAAATATGAACCCTTAAAAGGAACTACTTTGGGGCCTATGGGTAAACGGTTGAAATCATGATTTCTGTAACCCCTTGAAAACCGAAAGCGCCCCAATAAACCCTTCTGGAGTTCCAGTACTGGTTCCCCAGGTAGTGCCCCAAGAACCCTGATCGTTCTCTCCTAGATCACAAGTGCCCCCATTATTCTAAATCTGTAGAGCCAGAAGAGTATCCCGAATCGCCAAAATGCTAGGAAACATCAGTAACTAAGATGCACACCAGGACGATCTGAACCCTAAACCCCTAAACCCGTACCAAGGGGGTTGGTTGAGTAGGGTCCACTCCAACAACCACAGTCTCCTTCTGGTATAGGAATTCCCGCTGCTTCACAGATGGATGGAAAAGAGCCCCCCCCCCCCCCCCGAAAAAAAAAAAGCCCTAAACCCTAAACCCTAGTTTCAGGGTGGGAAACCTTGGAGGCACCTTAGAGCCCCGAAGCTCCGAGCCAGATTCCTTAAGCAAAAGTCGAGCCTGGGTTCGTCATCTTTCCGAAGCTTCCTACTTGGAGGTTCATGGCTGGTTGTAAGTGGGGCTTTAAGTAAGGTAACTATACTTATAACCCATATTAAGGGACTTTGACCCCACTTATAACTACCCATGAACCTCCAAGTCGGCCCTAAACCCTATACCCTTATAGAATGCCTATAGATCCCATTATAGGGGCCCTTAAAGGAACCCTTATGACTACCCCTGAACCTCCAAGTAGCCCCTAGGCGACGTCTCTGCGAGCTGGGCTGCCAGCTCCTGGCCCGCGCTGCGCGGCACCACGTGGAGAACGCGGGGCTCCCCACGGGGTTACAAGAAAGCCTTAGGTGTTTCTGTTTTTGTATCTGCATGTCTAGGTATAGGTAGTTACAGTATATGTAGGTGTATATGTCCATATATACATGTATGTATATAATACATATATAGATATATAGTTTTGTGTGTCTGTGTGTATGTACGTGCATGTTTGTGTATATGCGAATGTTTTCGTGTACGTACGTGTACATAAAACGTGAAAGCACGGCTTTATTTTACGGCTTGTGCAGGTTTGCTTAGATATTTTGGGTTCCCAGCCTTCTACCTGATTCTACCTTGTTCCTGTACGGTGTTCCGAGGGTTTGACTCGGGTTGTGCTTCCGGGTTTCATGGGCTCTTCAGGATACTTATGAGACCTTTGTCGGATCTAGGGGGTTACCTTCATTTGGTAGGAGCCTGAGGATTTAGGGTTCAGAGGTTCAGGGCTTGTAGGTTCGGGGCTTTAGACTCAGAGTACTCCCGCCTGAACACATCGTAGCCAGAAGATTCTGACTGGCGGGTCGAGGCTAAGACTGGCATCCATTCCCCTACAGCAGTGCGTATAGTTTGTCGTCTAAGTATGGAGAGTTGGGCTGAACGGGTTTCCCCAAATCTGAACCCTCAATCCTTAGAAACGAATCTCAAATCCTAGAACAGCGTTGGGGTTTAGTAACTATTGATTGGGAGCATAGTGGAGCTTCCGTCCTGAGACTTCCGTAACGAGGCGGCTGCCTTTGTGGGCGCCGGTGCGGCGCAGCTGGTCTGCGAGATGCTAGACAGGCAAAGCTTGGAGGTTTTTTTTCCATTTAACTAGGAGTGAGTTTAGGGGTTTGGGGTTTGTGGGAGGGCCGTGGGACTAAAGTGGCTTCAAGGTTAGAGTAGAGATATCTAAGTCCTGTAAAGATGGGTGGGGTGGGATGCTGTAACTTAGGATACCTTGTGGGATTCCCAGAATCATTATCCTGTACTTCTGAGCATACGAATCCCCCTGAATGCTAAACCTGGTTTCGATGGACCGGCGCAATCTGTCATGCGGTTTCATACCAGCATCGGCATAGGCGGCCCTGATAGTGATAAAGGACGACTTGATTTGCTAGCTAGCTAGCAGCTGGCTATCTACATCAGATTGTATGATGTGTATCTAGATTCTATATCGCCCCTTTCAACGCTCATTGTCACATTGTGCAACAGTTTTGGCCCATGATCTGGTTAGATGAGCGAATACCCCAAAAGCCAAACCCCTAAACCTTCGTTTAGGCTTCTGGATCCCTAAACCCCAAGCTCGCTGCCTAGACAGCGACTCTTTCAGCCGGCAGGCACTACGGTGTGAAGGAGCTGCAGAGGTGTGGGTGGCGGCCTTGGCTGAGCTGTGGCTGCAGGGCGGTTTTCGGATGCAGCGTGTTCTTCTGAGTTAAGGATTCCGGGTTGTCGGGTCTCCGTGTTTCGTTTTCTGTGTTTCAAGTTCGAAACCCTAAGACCCTAAGTCCGAAAGCTCAGCGTAGAGCTCCGGAGCCGCACGCCGAGGTCGCATTTCCGGGATGGCTACCCGTGTAAACGAGCCTGAGTTCAAGGGGGCAACAGGATGTTTCAACTTGTCGTCGACTGTTTCCCGGGCTCTGGTAGTAGGATGTAGTGAACTCAAGAACTAGCGATGCTGCTGCTCCTTTGCAATGCCCGTACAGTTAGATATCATGTTTGGGGCCTTGATCTCTGTTGGGTTCTGCAATGGGGGGATGGAGACGTCTAAGAGCTAAGGCAGCTAAGGTTCAGGGTTCGGAGTGATGGCTTTAGGGCAAGAGCTTCAGGGCTTTGGGGTTGAAGGCTCGATTTGAAGATTTAAGGATCGAGGTCTTGTGCTTTAGGGTCGAACGGTCTGGGATTCGAGGCTTGCCGTCCTGCTCCGCTGAGGCTACAAGCTTTGGCCATCTTAGCTCATTACGGTGGTCGGCGGCCGAGTTTGCCTGAAGTATCCTGACGTCATCGTGTGTGGCATCATGAAAATAAGTAGGATAGGACCCAGCTGCTGCTGCAGAATCGGCTTTTGCAGGTTGTGGTTCAGGTCTCAGGGTCGTCATTTAATAATTACCTATACGATTTTGGGCGTTCCTTATTATAACTACTAGTTTAATCGGCCCCCAAAACCCCATTTTTGTTATTAAGGCCCCAATATTGCCCAGCACTACCTGGAGACTCCCCCAGTGCTTGAGTCCTCAAACCCAGTTTCGGCTCGACTGCCGATCCGTAGCGCGCACCTCGTTCCTTCCTGACCCCAAGCGTCCTAGGTACTGTTATGGGGGATACTTCCCCAAATCATACTAGTAATTCCTACTATGGAAACCATACATTCTACTATATAGGTACTCTTTGCACCCTTTTGGTGAGGCCTTACAGGGCTTGGGTTTACGGCTTACAAGCTACACGACCTCAGCTTATGATTCATGCCGAAACCGCATGCCTAAACCAGACGTTACGTTCTGAACCCGCAACAACGAGCAAATGCTGGCTTGACTCCCAGTATTCGTGCTAGTTCCAAGAATTGTAAAGCTTCTCGTCAGCGTGAGAACACCTCTAAACCCTAAATCCTATACTAAAGAAAAATTAAGAAACTATGAAGTGGTAGCTCCAGCTGATGAGAGTCGGCACCTCGCTGGCTTTCCCCGTGCGCGATGTTCTGCTGCCGACGGAGGTCAGAGTTAGCTTGGGGTTTAGGGTTCGGGTTTCGGGTTTGGGTTTAGGGTTTGGGGTTTAGGGCCGTGTTAGTGTTGTTTCTTGATCATCCGCATCAGGGCGGTCGGATAAACATTGAAGCTTCCTATAGTCTCCATTGTAGTTCCTTTTTGGGGTTACCTTTTAGGATCCTTAATATAGTATTGCTTAAACCAAAAAAGTAAACACAATGGCACTTTTTTCAAGAAAGAAAAAAGGAACAAAAAAAGAAAAACAAAAAAAAGGAACTACAATGGAGACTATAGGTTTGTTCTTTCTCTCCTCACCAAGCCTTCAGCCCAACTCCTGAAAGTCCCAGACCCCTGGGAGGATCCAAAAAGTAGATCCCTTAATGGGGGGTTCCTATAAAGTACCCTTAGTAGTATGGGGCCCCAAATTAGGGGATTTACTTTCTAGATCCTCCCGCGGGTCTGGGGTTTGCATAGAGCAGAGACGAGCGTCTGTGTATGGCCTTGCTGCAGCTATTGCCTTCCAAATTGGCGTTTCCGTATGCCGCCCTAAAACACCAGGCCAAGAAAAGCAACAATCACAGACGCAGCTTCTGTAGGGATGTAGTTTAGTAAGTTCATGCAGAGGGATGGAGGGGCAGAGAGCGAGAGAGAGAGAGAGAGAGGACGACCTGGGGACAGTCCCCACTTCGATGAATCGAGATTTCGGGGGATGAGGGACTTTTGTGGTTTACATGGCTATCCTGTTTCTGCCTGCAGGGTCTTGTCGCGACATCCTCGATTCCACAAAGTATGTCAGAGTTCAGACCTTGCTCTCGTTTGTGGCTCGGGGGAGGGGCAGGATACTTGCCTACACATGGTTTGACCTATAGGCCTCTTAGATACAGCTGTGCCCTTGTTTCTTACAATGCTGCCCCTCCTACAAGGTGCCTAAATTTACATGTGCAATGAGTTCTACGTACGAAACCGAGATCAGCTGGTCCGGGGGAAAACAATTTCCAAGTGAGCCTGCATTGTTGCTTTCAGAAAGTGGACCCCGCGATCTCGCACGATGAAGTAGGTCAAGTAGGAGGCAGGATGGGCAGAGTACTTTCCTACACATGTTTCGACCTGTAGGCCATCATATAACGCTGTGTCCTTGTTTCATACTACAATGCCCTTCCGACACAAAGTTCCGTCTTGTATGCTACAAGCATCCTACTTGTGAAGACGAGATCAAGTGGTCCAACGGGGGAGCATACTGTTACTGGTAACACGTGAATGTATAGTGGTGTTTTTTGTTGTACTACAAACCCCGATGGACTCCGATCTCCACATTTCCCTTGCTTCAAAAACCCCATGAAAGTGATGCCAAGGAAAACTAGTGATTTTGCGATCCTGGGTGTTCTTTTGCTTGCAAATATCCATAATGGCATCATGGGGGAGACTGCAGACTTTTGGATACAACCATCCTCCCGAGGTCACCCTTTGTACCCCCTATATAATGATACGACCCTCAATCTTGACTATAGGGGGAATACAAAGGAATGACTATGCACGTGTCAACGTGAGAGTCAAATGGAACACAGTTAACGTTATCGTATTATATATGGCTTTAGCCGAAACTGTGTTCGTGACTCATTCTTCACCCCTCAAAACACCCGTTAAAACAGCGGGGGGGCCATTGGCCCGAGGGCGTTGACCCGCCCTCATGCCCGGGAGAGAGAGAGAGAGAGAGAGAGAGAGGACGACCATGGAAACGAGGGAGCAAGCGAGGGAAAGAAATGATATGAATATGAAGCCCTAGATTTAATCAAGAGCCCGATGCCCATGAACGGCCCACAGAAATGGCTTGAGCACTCGATGTCGGTCCAGGGAAGAATACCCGAAAGCTCCCGAAATGCTAAACCACAAACTCTCAGCACTACAGTGCAACATTGTGTCCCCGGCCGGCTCAACTGGAAGCCGCAAGCAATGCTGAAACTCAGAAGCTTCACCCCTGGCCCCAAAGGACGGAAGCCCTCTCTTGAAGGCTGGACTCCTAGATTCCAAAAGCGTTTGGAGGAGCCCGGTCGATCTGACGCAGCGGCTGGCGCCGGCTCATCCCGCCGAGGTACTGGACCCAAACGCCATTATCATTATTAGTGTCATTACTGTTATTGTTATTCGTTATTGTAGGATACTCGATAATACTGTATTAAAACATATACCCATACTATCACGAAATCGATAAGCTTGAGCGCGGGCTCCAGCTCGCGAAGGTCCGGAACTCGGAAGGCGTGAACCAACCAAGAGCCATCTTCGAAAGAGCACGCATGAAAGGTCAGGGGACTTGTCAGATCCACGGCCCTACTTGCAGGTTCATGAATAGTTACAAGTGGGGTTATTTCTAGTATAATAACTACAATTACAACCCATGCTAGGGGACGTGTAGCCCCATTACAACCCAGAACCTCCAAGTAGAGGCCCTCAACCGCGAACCCTCGATTTCCCTGAAACGCCCGGCATTGAACACAACCCCGGGGCAGAGAGAGAGCGCTGAAATCTCGGACCCCGGACCCTGGGAATCCTGGGAGCAGAGCGCATGCATGGGTGCCTGCCCACATTGTGACACACCTCTCATACGATGATGATGACACCCAAAAGCGGTTATAAAAAGACTAACCCAAGTGCAAATAGCAGTAACAGGAGTAGTAATATGAAAATAAGAATAACGATATGAGTAATAAACATAACAAGAGAAAGGAGTTTATTAATATCAATATTGATAGTGCAAATCATGACCATAAGAATGATAGTAGTACTACTACTCGTAACAATTAACAACAATGATAGTAGTGAGGCTAATCGTAATAGTCATAATAGCAGCAACAATAACAACCCTCGGAAGCCCGAAAGCCTGGAGGAGCAGGCTGCAGCGCCCGCGACTCGTGCGGCCAGGTCAACAGAGGGCAGGAGCCCTGCTTAAACGATCTGCTTGATCATTCCGTATCATATATACTTATATATAGAGAGAGAGAGAGAGAGAGAGAGAGAGAGAGAGAGAGAGAGAGAGAGAGAGAGAGAGAGAGAGAGAGAGAGAGAGAGAGAGAGAGAGAGAGCGAGAGAGAGAGAGAGTGAGTGAGTGAGTGAGTGAGTGAGTGAGTGAGTCAGGGAGAGTGAGTGAGTGAGTCAGTGAGTGAGTGAGTCAGAGAGAGTGAGTGAGTGAGTGAGTGAGTGAGTGAGTCAAAGAGAGTGAGTGAGTGAGTGAATGAGTGAGTGAGTGAGTGAGTGAGTCAGAGAGAGTGAGTGAGTGAGTGAGTGAGTGAGTGAGTGTGTGTGTACATGCATTGTATATACATAGATGCACATACATATGTGCACACACTGAGGTTGTGGCTATGGTCTGCAGCAGCCACATACCGTGAAGATTAGGATTCCGAAACCATTCCGCAGCTTGAAGACGGTTCACTTCGCGAAGCAAGGGCATGCTTTTGGTTTGGGGTTTGGGATCCGGGGTATTAACCCGATCCCGCCTATCCCCGAAAGGAAGCAATAATAGCATCCTCTTAATTATAACGGTCTATCAAGAGCAGCCCGAGGTTGAAGAAACTTCCATATCCGACATCCTGAACCATGGTAAGCTGCGCAGGATATGCCCGATCACGGGGCTCGAAGGCTGCGCAGATGAAGAGTTCGGCCATGATTCTGAGGTT